AATTTACAAGGGTCATAGTTTTCATGTAATATCATAATATGTAGTTTCATGACAAGAAGAATTAATAATGGACTCTATCACATACTGCTGACCTTTTTAACACTAATTAAGTGACCCCTTGTATGTAATTACTTGTCATTAAGAACAGTGCACATCCTTGTGTTCAGTAATTACCTAATTGCAAGAGGTAGTTATGCAATTATTTATTTATTCAAAGGGGAACTGCTGTTACAGGGTTACTGGTTTAGTCGACCTAAATCCTTTAAAAGTTAGTAGTACTCATCATTTCTGACTATTTAACTAAGGAACTATCCCAATGTTAACCGTATGTGTAATCATTGAATAATTTTCAATATAATTATAATATATACAACTTTGAATAAATATCATAATTAATTAGTTTTTATTTCATAGATTATAATATACTTACATATTCACTGTTATTTTCTGACATACACACACACACACACACTTCTAGTTATGTATGCATATTTATGCATATTATGCACATATATTATTTAGAACATTATACAAACTCGTAACTACTCCCATGCTTCCATTTCAAAAAAGGATAAGACCACTAGAAATGAAGATAAATGCTATTGGGTATGCGGCCAGACCTACCCACTATGTCCTATGGGGGTAGGCAGAGACTATGGAAAACCAGTAAATACGATTCCTATTTTAAGTAATTGGTCATTATTGTAATTTGTAGTAATAACTAGCTATTATCCGCGGCTTCGCTCGTGTCACAAAAGGATAAAAAGTAGCCTATGTGCCATATAACCATACACACAGCGCCATCTATACCAATAATTTCGTTTTCCCTCGAGAATATCAATTTTTTCCGGGATAAAAAGTACCCTATTATTTAATCCAGACTTCTAACTTTACGTCTGGAAAAATTCAAAGCAATCGGTTTAGTAGTTACGGCGTGAAAGCGGAACAAACAAACAAACAAACTCACTTTCCGATTTATAATATTAAGTAAGGATAAGGATGACCTACATTATCGATCGATATTAGTTAACTAACTTAAGTTTCCATCAAACTGATTCACTACACACTACCAAGGCACTTCATATATTTATATGAATCATTGTAAAGGTACCTATTTATTATTGTTACCATATTTGTAATCTACATTTAAAATGCTAAGTGTGATGATATGGACAAAGTTAGGAATCATGCACACAACTTTTGAATATTACTACATGTTATTAGGCATGAATTATGAATTCTGTTATTATGAATTCTTATTAGGCATGCTGAACTTCCAATCTCTTGAAGTAAGACGTAATTATAGCCTCCTTATATTTGCCTGTCAAGTACTACGCGGTAATTCCGACTGCCCACAAATAGTAGCGCAGGTGGTAAGACTGATTGTCCCTGATGTACCTAGGTACCAAACCAACTAAGGCCCCACAGCCACTGCTAACTGGCCGTACCTAACACCCGCACTATATCACACGCTCGTTCGGCACTTGTTCGTGCCCTCACACTGATAAAATAATGATCTTCTGGCATTATCACCAGAGTTTGATATATTTGCGTCAAGCTGGAGGACTGTGTGCAAAGAATGCATGAAGTTATGCGAGTGTATGAATGCGTAACTGTATTTTATATTATGTTGTATTGTAAATGTCTTATTTATTTTATTTACATTGTTTATTTTGCTTATTGGTATTAAAACCTGTCATAGTTTGTAAGGTTTCCTTACTTTCCTTATTCTTATTGTTTGTTTTATTTAAGGACTGTTCTGTTTTGTTTTTTTTTTCTTTTTATAATTATTTGAAATGTATAACGCCTTGGTTTTATGACTGTAATGTTATACTATTTAATTTTTTCAATAGCTTGATGTATCTTTTATGCTGGAGCTACATAAGCGGGCAAAGATTCGTATCGCATTGGCGCGCAAAATACCCGATGTCGGACATATACTATGTTCTCGTCTGCATTAGCGAGCCAAGATACAGAAATCATCTCGCGTTCTAAAGAGGTCTATATGTAATGAATGGTACAATGTTGTGTAAATATACACAATTGAAGACTTCAGTTTAATTATTGTGTATACTTTATTTATTTCAATTGTGGCTAATTCAGTAATTAGGAAGTTACACAGCTACTTACAAGTCTAAAAGGATAAGTAATACAAGCACTTATAAGAATCTATTTAGACAACTTTAAGTCACAAAAATATTTATTTATTTAATTTATTTAACAACTTTGGAAGACTAACAGCTAACAAAACAAAAATTAAGAAATTGTGTGAGAGTCTGACAGCCAATGACAAGTCTTCACATATAAAAAAACAAACTAATACTATAAAAGAATGTGGTTGACACAGTACTCCCTACAAAATTATTATAATAATATTAATCATATTATGTTCCTAATTCATAAATTACCAATTACTAATTCAATATTAAATAAATAATCGATGAACTTACGTTTTGGAGTACTTGTGTAACATACAGCCGTAAGGTTGCCACTCATGATCTCCTTTGTATCTTCCCGCGGTCAGTAGCCAAGTGCAGGAGTCTGATCCTGAAGACAGGTGTTATAATATGATTAAATACAAACAACTGCCTCGTTGGCCGAGTGGTCGCAAGTGCGACTGCCGAGCAAGGGGTCTCGGGTTCGATTCCCGGGTCGGGCAAAGTATTACTGGGTTTTTAAAAAATTCTCAGCGGTAGCACGGAATCTGGAATTGTGCCCGGTATATGGCAATAGGCTCACCCCCTATTACATGGGACTTGTAACATAAATAGTGAAAAGTAGGTGTTACATTGTACAGTGGTATAATGTGCACCTCTGCCTACCCATTCGGGATAAAAGGCGTAATGTTATGTTATGTTAAATCCAAACATAAAAAACCTTGAATAAACTTTCCATACAAATAATAATTGTGACTGATATTGTACAAAATATAACCAATTTTCATATTCTAATGTGCATAACTCGTATAAAACAAATTTGATATTATGATAAGGAATATAAATTTAAATAAAACATAACATTCACCATATTTGAGATGTAGAACTCCATGGTAGCCAATAAATCCTATGACCAGGACAAATGCTAAAAGTTTCGCATTTTCCACATTGAGCTGGTCTATTATCCACTCAGCCGAGGACTTTTTGCTGTAAGAACCCATAGTGCCCGCTCAAAATCCAGCTAAATTCCACTTGAAAGTAGAACACTACAACACTAAAAACAATAGCGTTTCACATTTATAACACTGTAAGTATACTGCTTCAGTCAACGCAGATGGTGAGAACTATTTTTATTAAGCTGCAGCACGATATTGTGCACGTTTATTTCCATTTCACAAATGCATAATTTGCAAACAACAAACTACAATTACACGGCCGAATGAATAGCAGGTAAAAAAGTATTTGACAGTTTGACTGACTGCTTGGCTTGACATTAAAGAAGTGACATATTCCTTCCATTCCATAGAGCATTTTTAGAGGTGTGTACACTCTGTTTTAGTCGATTTTTACAACAATATCCGAACGCATAATTTGACGGTATTTATCTGTGTTGTCATATGAAACAGAAGTCTAAAGGTAAGCAAAATAACATAACTTTGAATTTCTTTCAATTAAAAGTATCCGAATGACCCAATCAAATCAATTTCTATGTAATTATTGTTCTAAACAAATAATTTGTGAAAGTAAAATTGTTTTCGGAAATAAGAAAAACTATGATCGGGTAAAGTTAAAGACTACAGAGTTAAATTTTTCAACTAGTAACATCAAACGTCTAATTGGATTACAATGGCGGCTATGTCCCCGTCTGAGGTAAGTAAAAAATAATTAAAATATTACCCATAACGAAACACAATTTTTGTTCAAATTTTGTGTAATTTAAGTCTTTCTTAACCCAGTATCAAAACTGTCGCATAAATAGCAAATAAATTATAATACTAATATGGGCCGTATTGTGACAGTTTTGGTATTAGAATTTTGTCAGAATTTTTATTGTATTGAAGATAATTCAAGTTTATCGTTGAAAGTTACACTAATAAACAAATTTCTTCGTAAACGAGGGCTAGACTCCTGAAAAAATTCGCAGTACACATGTGGCTATCGTGTATAAAATAAAAATGTAAATATCTGTTTTTAGCGGAGATTACAGAAAGAACTTATGTCCCTGATGAAGGAACCGCCACCAGGAGTCACCGTAGACGGAGATCAGGCCAGCCAAAATCTAACACTGTGAGTAGAACAGCTGATTACTAGTACACTGTAGATACACATAACTATACCTTGTCTAACTAACCATTGTTGTCAGATCCAGCAGCTATAAAAATAATTCGGTATATGGAGGTACATGAACATTGATCGATTTAAATCTATTTACATTTTGTTGATTATATTTCTAATGATGACTTTGAAATTAGGTTCTTGGTGTCTTTGTTTGTTAACCTACTATGGAAAATGAGTGATGCCAAAACAACATTTAATTTGTGTAAACATTGTTATAAATATAGCAACTACCTATTTATTTTAATAAATACTTATAAATAGAAGATTTTGTTTGATAAAAAACGCAAATAATATAAATCCTTTTAAAATGAGTTAGAATAAAATCCTTATAATAAAAAATGTATAATCAGATTATAAAATTTATGAATAAATGGTTTTTTTGCCATTGTGCTAACAGCTGAGTACACAGTAGCTATTATTTATTATGTAACATGCTGGTGTGAAACCTTGGTTCTCTGCTGATGTTATTTTGCAATATTTACGTTATAATATGTGATGTTATTTATTCATAACCCAGTGTATGGCATCACTCACCATGTAGTATATACTTATCATATATGTTAGTTTATAAACTATAAATAAATGCCCATTGATAGTCAAGTCTTGTGTTTAACTCGTCGAGTACCGTCATTATAGACACAATTATAGAACAATAGGTTGCGGTCACCAGTGACCGCTTGGTGTTTGACAGTTTAATGATGTTTAAGTAATGTGATAAAATGACTGTTTGAGTGATTAAATAAATGTTATAATCCTGGCAGCAGAAACCACTAGAAGTCAGTCCCAAAAACCTATCTATATTTATATATATTTTTTTTTATTTATTAACGCTTCATGCACAAAGTGTACACAAGGTGGACTTAATGCTGCAGGCATTTTCTTCCAGTCTGACCTTTGGGTGATGCAGAGAAGAGTGAATGGTAGGAGCAAGAAGCAAGCAACAATTTAATTGAGAAAATAGAAGATTATACTAACATATTTCAGATATGAACATAAATAAATATAATAATAATATATATATCTACACACGAGTATAATACAATATACATATATGCATACATACATACATACATAGACTCATAGCATATTAGATAATAATATGGTGTATTTTATTGAGTTCAATTCAAGGCAAAATGGATCAATATTCTATCATTAGACAATTTATTATACAGCTAGTTATATTTTCCAGCAGACTATAATACTGAATCTAACATTCCCTAAATTTACAGACAATATTAAAATCATTCGCATAATTTTAAAGTTTGTTAAAAATTACTGTAACTTATCATACTAACACTAAAAATATTTAATTAACATACATAGAATAAGTAGGTTATGTTTGTTTATCACTTAAAAATTTGCCAGTTCATGCAGTTCAAATCAATATTATGTCTGTTATCACTGCAGTGGTAAGGAAGGAAAATGGATAGTTCTAGAAGATTGAAGGTGCCAAATATGTACAGTTTCAATGCCAAACTATTGTTTTAAATGAGGAAAGTTGGGCATTACTGCAGAAATACGACTCAAGAGTTGTTCTGATGTTATCTATAATTTTAGTAATGTAAGCTTCAACTGGAAACTTCTATTAAATCATCATTGATCAGCTCAGTGTTCTGCCGCTGCAAAGTACTTTTTTGTAAACATTGCCCCATCTTAAGATCTTGTTGTCTCTACAAATGCCTGGATCAAATAATCTATTTAATAATCTGTATCAGTGGTGCCATTCTAAATCAAGTTCTCTTTGTTCATCAGGTGGACAGTACACATGGAAGGCGTTCCCGGCACTCTATATGAAGGCGAAAAATTTGTATTGCAGTTTAAATTCACAAACAAGTACCCATTCGACTCTCCTGAAGTAAGTCACTTATAATATTAAAATTCTAAAGTGTCATGCCTGTACGTGGAATAGGTTGGGTGCTCAGGATTATTTAGGGCATAGTTGTTGTTACTCATATTATTGTAATGTAGGCTACACATCTTCCATTTTTACTGTACAGTTCAACTTACCAGTTTAATTGAATGGTGTGTATCGTGCATAGTTTCTTTCCTGGCATAGTTTTTAAAGTTTTTGTAAGTTTATGCTTTTAATTACATTTATTACTTAATTATGATATTATCTCGTGATTGCCTGGTTGTTACTTGCAACAAAGTTTTATGCAAAATAGGAAGTTATTACAACTGAAACTTGCATGTATTCATTTACAATGCTATTATTGCCCTAACAGTATGTATAGCATGTACATTTTTGATTTCATACAAGTTATATAGGTTCATAAACAATTCACTTTAGTCTAATTTTATGCCAAGGATTTTCCTTATTACGAATTTGATTGATGAATTGAATAGCGAAGTTGTGATTACTGGTATATATTATTTTGCATCAAGTCAATGGAATGACGTATCTATTTATTTAAATGTTCTGGAGTTTATTTTATTTTTAGTTGCAGAAACTATTTAAGAAGGAAAAGGGTATCATGGTTTAACAGTGTCTAATTGTCAAGTCAACATATTTGTTACTTTGCTCTTTGCTGATACAATAGGTCTACATTTTTGTTTTATACTATTTTTATAATAATTATATTCTGAAAATCGAAGCGTTGTATTGACTTTCTGTGTACCCTTATCCAAAATAACTGAAGTTTACCTTAACATTTATTTCATCCATTCTTTTATATTTGACATATCAACAAATTATGCACAGTTTTCTACTACTACTAGGTACTATCTACAACTTTTACGCTTTAAACAATACAATGCAATATTCATACAATAATAATATATCTCCACAATATAAATAAAATATTAGATAAATATATCGCAATGTCATCACTGTTAGATAAATACAACATTCAGTCACTTATCACCTTTGTTCTCTAAGGAATAACGTTGAGAATACCACAATAATGATGGCAAACGATCAATCAAGATTGTGACTCATTCGACTCGGTTGTTTACATGTAATTCAGTGGCGACTTGTCAGAAATGCTGTGGGTTCGATACTGAATCGTATAATCAAATAATAATAATGAATTAGTGAGATACTGATTCGTATAATCAAATAATAATAATGAATTAGTGAACCACTTCGGCTTGCTACATGTGCTATTTCCCAACTTGTCCGATAACATAAATAATTCTTTCATATAAACACGAGGAAAACAATTATTTAATTTTTTGCAGTTGTTCTGAAGTTACCAGTATATTAGACCTTTTTTAACTTGCATTTTAAAAGATTTTTAACTTATTATGACAATAAATTACTCCATGGTGTTTTCTTATTGCATATAAAACACAATTTCTCCATTAGAATAGCAATAATAAAAAAAAAAACATGTGAAAAATTCTATTGTTGTGTGAAAAATGTAGTTCTGCGATTTACGAACGTAATGAATATGGAATTAAATATCAAATTAGTGCAGCAAATCAAATCGCAATCCCTATCAGATGGAAGTCGTAGTATTTATTTCGATACTATCTGCAATGAGTAATGCAGTATGCAGTCCGGTTTCTAACTGTAGATAAGTACGATTAATACACCCACTGGAATTAGGTTAATAGTTGTTATCGTATCAATTCTGCTTACACACATTTCGGGCGTATTGCAGTCTATTTTTGCGTCACCCACTATAAATGCGAACCTATAATTGTAATTGTTAATTGCAGTTTTCATTCCAATGCTTTAATTGTTACTAAGTCCTTGAAGGAGAGGGAGAGTAGAGTACAATTGTCACATCTCCTTCTCTTCCCGCGGGTATCGAAGGAGTCTTCTAAAATACCATATATTGATAGAAAAAGGCAGCAGCGCTGTGATATTTATCTTGATTTGTCTAACCCGCCTGTCTGGCGTGGAAATTGTAGCATACACCTCTTTTGTAAAAGAACCCCATAGTCTAGAGGACTGCCAACGTAATATCACGACTTTAATACATCTCATATTTCACTTCCAATGGCACAGGACAATCAATTACAACTTCATCAATTAAAATTATTCCATAAAACTCTGATGACATAATAATTACTGTAGTTAGTCGTTACCTTACCAAGTTATATAATAGCCTTGGTCAAATAATCTCATTGTCTAACTAACTTTGTTGTAGTCAATGAGTCTTTATTCATTTTAATACAGATACTGAAGTCCTATATGATAACTTATTCATATCAGAAATAAATCGGGTTAACTAGATACGTATCTGTTTGTCGACCTTACGAGCAACGAACTACCTACCTTCTATAAAAAAGTCCTGGGGAAGTACTGTCTTATCTGTCTGCTCCTCTGCCTACCCCTACGGGGATAAAAGGCGTGATGTTATATTATGTTACTGTCTTAAAATTCCCAAATGTTCTTATTTAAATTCTTTTACACTGAAGATTCGAGCTTCATCCTCTATCTACTATTTGTTTTAATAAATGCAACAAACCATTAGTGCGTACGGATCAATGAGGATCACTGGAAACAATCTAATTAGGAATATCTTGTAACTGCACTACTGCGCCATTCGCAGATGTAATGGAGTTCGATATAAAACTATTTTCAGTTCATTGCTATGATTTTAACAAGCCATACGGAATCGATTACATTGTAAACTACGTTTTATACTTACACCTTATCATATAAAAATAAACAGATTTGATTAAAATTCTTACCTAAAGAAAATGTGACCAATAGTTACCAGAAATTTTGTTAAATTTTCAATCTATTTTCGGATAGCTAGAACTTCGTCGTCGTAAACTGTTGTCATGTTGATGTTACAGGGTTGGTTCACCTGTTCGCGTCCATTTTACGGATCGCCATGAATGTAAAATACTTAAAACGTGAAAAGGTCAAACAGATGTGTAATAAATACTACTTATATAGTGATAGTTAATAGTTATCTTACTCTCGGGAATTTTTAAAGTAAGTTCGGTTGGACGTAAAAACGGGCGAACTTACCTACTATATATTCAAACAGTAATACTGTTTATATGAAACTTTCTCTTACCTGCAAACCTCAACACTTAGGTATTGTACTATGTACATATTATGTACTAGGAAGTACACATGTCCTTACAATAACGCCTCGACATTTACATATTGAACACATAACACTAGGTATTTATTTACATTAAAACCTGCCGTACATCATATTACATAATTATGATAATAAAATTGATTTCTTGATAATCTTCGCATAACAAGTCAATATTTAATTCTCAAACACGTTTTTGTGCTAAAAAATCGCTAATTTTATTTCCATGTCTAATTTTAATTAGTCGTTAATACTTACTAAGTTTTTATAGATATATTTTTTTTATGGCATAGGCCGGTAAACGAGCAGACGGATCACCTGATGATAAGCAATCGGCGTCGCCCATGGACACCTAGAACACCAGAGGCGTTACAAGTGCGTTACCGGCTTTTTGGGGATTAGGAGTTTGAGAATCGTTGGGGATTCAGGGATTGGGGAGATTGGGGAAGGGTATGGTAAGGGCCTCCGGTAACCTCACTCACACGACGAAACACAACGCAAGCGTTGCTTCACGTCGGTTTTCTGTGAGGCCATGGTATCACTCCGGTCGAGCCAGTCCATTCGTGCCGAAGCATGGCTCTCCCACACTTGATATATTATTATATACACACTTATATTGATACATATAATGACTGCTGTCTTTTTATTTTATTCTTTAAAAAAAATATCTATTTCAGTCTTAAAATAAGTCTTCTATCTAACTTACCACTTCAGTATGCTAGTAAAATCCTCAGTTTCTTGCTAAATGTGTAATTAAGCCCTATAGTTCGCCAGTTCAAACTAAATTAACTCCAACCTTAGCCGCAGTTTATATCTAGGAACTACTTAGCTACGTAGGTGGGTAGTCTCTGCCTGTAGCTGAAGTTAAATCCTACATTAATGTGCCTTGGATTTTAGACCTAGTACTATAAGATCGTGAACTATCTCACATAATTAATAGTGGCAATACCCTACGCTATAGTACACCGTAGTTTAATTTGATTGATAACTAATGTTATAATATTGATTTACCAACACGGTAATAGACTAACAAGTAACAAAATCATTAAGAATTATTTGCATTTTTCTGATTTTTGCACTTAAAGATGTTGTATGTATCTTTTGAAAGTGGTCAAAGTAAGTAAATTATACTAATACTTATCTTGTATGTGTTCCAGGTAACGTTCATAGGCAACAACATACCGATACATCCGCACGTGTACTCCAACGGACACATCTGCCTGTCGATACTGACGGACGACTGGTCGCCGGCGCTGTCCGTGCAGTCTGTCTGTTTGTCCATCGTGTCCATGCTCAGTAGCTGTAAGGAGAAGGTACGTCGATCATGTCCCCACATAATGGCGACAACTTGTATAGAAAACTTTTCCCATTCTAGGATTTTAATACATCTTTAAGAGCCTCTTGTTTATCTATTGTTCACTATTGTTATTAGTATATTCTGTGAAGATAAATTAATATGAACAACCTTGATGATGATAATGATTAGGTTGATCTTTTTTCTTCTCTATGGAATCTTCACAATGAAAGAAGCAAATAACTACACTAAACAACTGACAAATACCTTATCAGTTTGAACCTTTACATTGAATTTATCCATGTTCATTGTGTTTGTACGTACAGTCCAAACTCACTCATTATTTTAACATTTCAGAAACGGCCACCGGATAACTCATTTTACGTTAAGACCTGCAACAAAAATCCTAAGAAAACGAAATGGTGGTATCACGGTACGTACACAATTACTTACATTTTTTTAAATTCTAAAGTGTTCAGGATGAGAAATAAAAAGAAATACTCTCGTAATTTTTGGTCATACTTTGAGGTATGTCTATAAAACTTTGCGACCAAATGCTAAGGGAAAATCATCCACTAAATTTGTTCATACAAAACTAGTCTCTAAATATTGGAAATAAGACCTATAACGTAGTTAGTGTTGACCGCTTGGGTATATACGGGTTAAATGCAATTTCTAAACCATCTACCAAGTGTGGGAATTGTAACAAACCTCATCTAAAGAAAGATTAGGACCTTTTCAGCGGTGGTTTCAGTTCCGGCTTTAATTTCGAGAAAAGAGGACTAACCAGGCTAGGTCGTCATGCCGGAACGCCTGGTAAGCTGGGCAACTAATTCGTTGAAGATGTTTTTCCCGTATTATTACGCGTAGCTTATTCGTGGAATATAGAATAGGAGGTCCCATCTATTGGTCAATCGCCACGGAAATAAACGAAAATAATATTCATGCATATCAGTATTTACTTGTACCTACTAAGAAGAATTTTACTGGACACGATTGTTTGTCTCATCTCTGTCTATGTAATGATTCCATTATTACATTATACAAGTTATTGACGGTAATCGGTAGGTAGATTATGTAATGTGTCCCTATAATGCGGTTGATATTCTGTTTGCAAATGATTACAATAGTCAACAAATCGTCATCGACTCGTCATCATACATTACTTACTTAGTTCGTAGAAATAAGATCAGAAACGTATTGAAACACAAAACAATATGAACCACATGATGTGGACGTAGTGTGTGCGTTATCTGTTTGATAGTGTATCAGGTACAATCGATACACATCGCATTGACAGTGTTTAGATAACGCTATCACTCGCCCGGTGCAATCACCACCTGGAATTATTTGCCTGGTATGCTAAAATATATGTATGTTCATCTGATTTTGTACAATACAGCATTGCTTTACCCAGTAATGGGCTACTTTCATAAGGATACAAATGCTTAAAACAATTCAGTGTAGGCTAACGTTTATGGCTGAAGACCTTACCATCCCATTATTATTACTCTTAGTAGCAATATGGTCTATTAAAATAAGAGCTATTTCAATAGGTCATACCCAGGATATCGTCACATTCAACTTGATTATAGTTGGTGCATTGTCTAATATATTGTTTGTGTGGTTCCAGATGACTCCGTCTAACAATATACCGCGTCGCTGTATCGAGCATGGACGATAAATCTCAGTATGTGTTAAGTGTTATAACTATACGGTATGTTATTGTAAAATGTTATGTACATACGACGCGACACGCGACGACACGGCCGACCGCGCGAGCACCGCGGCGAGCAGCGAGCTGGCGAGCTCGCAACCTAGCGAGTGGCGACGCTAAATTACCGAGTAACACGAAGCTGGGACATATTGAACGTTTGGGTAAATACATACATAGTACAATTTACTATCAGCTCCACTGTACAACTAGCTGGCTAACGACCATGTGTATAATATGTTTGTGTCCATTAATTATACTCGTCCGACCCCTCGGACCACGGCGCCACCTGATTATATTGTAAACCAATGAGTACATTGTGTCGGCTAATGTTTGTAACACTCGTTGTAATTATACTCAGTTTACCCAGACTGTTCAATGACGCAGGCGTAACACCAGCGACAGCTCCCTGCATTGGAAGTGTACACATAGTTCGTTGTCCAAATCACGTAATAATGGTGTACGGTATCAAATCTTATGAATAATATGAACTGTGAACGAGTGGGGAGAGTGAGGAGTGCACGCGCACGCGCACTGGACGCGGCGAGCGGGTCTATGTCTCACCAGCAGATAGTTTGTCAGTGCTAAATTAACGATATACTGTAAGTAGAGTAATAGGGTATCAAATGATTATGTACCGCATACCGGAGTCTTGTTCACGCGTCACTCATCCTTTGTTTACTTGTATATAAATTTGAATTTTTACTATTATTGTGATTCACGAAGCTGACTGCAGGTAACTCAGTACTCACGCTATGTCACTCTATGGTATTGGTTCACAGCTGGCTCCGACGATATCTACGTATCATGAGGCTTCACGAGCATTTACTTTGAAATGTGACTACAATCGATTTATTGAACGCATCAAAACACCATTTAGCTTGTTAACTTACATTTCTGCAAATGCTTCGAGAATTTTAGTCAAAAACATCTGTTCATATTATGTAGTTGACTATTTAGCCAGTCATATAATTTTCATAGGATATTTTGTGAGCATAATGGAATGCAATAAACTTCAATAATTTATGTTTTTATATTTGTAGATAAATATTCTATGTGATGATGAATGTAATTTTGTATGAAATTTTATTTACGTATGTCAATGTCAATAAAGGATTCGTTGAATCATAGACTAAAATATACATATGCAAGGTAGTTATATTCTTTGTCAATCTGTTGAGTGAGGTGCTTCTAAATGGGCCATATTTTTGTGCAACTTGCTGGCAACATTGCAATATTCTGGCCATCCAAATATATTTGGTATGACCACGTGTGGCCGGTATGGTTGCGTAAATAGTTAGTTGCAGTGGGATATTGCGCGTTTAGAAGCAGCTTTACATCGTCCTAGTGGAGGCTGGGCACCGCGTCCTACTAGTCTACTACAAAGTATTGTCAAGTGTTTCACTGCACGGTTACAAACTATACGGTTTCTGTAAATTGATATCGCGATATATTTCACTATATTTTGCCGGTGCTATTGAGATCTCGATGGGTTCACAAAATTAACTTTCATTTATTGAAGATGGCAACATTTCGCATTAGGTTAGCAACACATTCCTGTATTATTAGATGAAAAATTGCTGGGTCATGTCTACCTTATGATTTACGGAAATGCATTATAATTGTGTATTATGAAACAACCCGCTTAATTTATTGAAATAAAAATATAGTTAAACATGTTACCGTATTTTATTTTACTTACCTATTATATTATAAATTGCACATTGAACAATCAAACAATCTTACAGCATACTTACGTGCTAAGTTAGTTATTATGTTACTTCTACTGTTACCGTAAAAAGAACAATAAATGCTTTTAGTTTCACAAGTTATCTTCTGATAACAATAACCTTCAAAATTAGCAGTTGTAGTACATTCTATCAAGCATTTCTGCGTTAGCTTTGCCCTTTTTATTTCTTTATAATTATGAGTTCCTGTCCAATATGTAAGGTAATAATTAAATATATTAAAATTATGTATTTAACGTATTTGCCTATAAGGCACTTCCAATAATTATGTTTGTGTACACGCATTTACTTTTGAGGCACACTGTTGCTGTACCCGAAATGCTCACCTCATATTAATACCTAATACCTGTAGCTATACATATACTAACATTACAAAAAGTTTGTGAATTTGATTTCATTGTCAGTCTACTAAGCTACACTATGCACTCAAAAATAATAAAATAAAATATTTTGTCTCTATACTTATCAATTACTTACAATATTCAATTAATATTATTTAGTAATACATTTTAAGTACATACCTGCCTTATTGCGTTTACTCACAACGACAATTTTGTACAGAGTCAATATTTAATTATTCGCCAATCAAATCAGTGCCATAAGAAAAACACAGCTTTGTACACAGCAAGAAAAAACGATGTAATACTAAATAAACCTTATTCCTTTCATATAGGGCTTATTTAGGCTCATTCTGCATTGGACATCGATTTTGTTCTCGCCGTGAATAAAGGATGCTACATCGGCAGATATCAAGCACTTACTATATACGCGTATTTACATATTCTTGTTTAAAAATTTAGAGACTTTAATAAAAGGGAGGATTATTAATTAATAATGATTAATTCGAGGCATTTTTAATTGAAATCTATTAGATATTATAATTTAAATTCACAGCCCAAAACCACACATGCAGACTTGATAACATTAATTATTTATAAGTATTTGAGATTGATGATAATAAATAAATTAGTACAAACATCATCGTAAACTAGATCTATTGATTATGAAATGAGAAATTTTGTGCCATTAGACTAGAAAACTAAAAATAACACAAACCAAAACGAGATAAGTACTTATTTATAGTACAAGCTGCACTCACACAAGTACAGGTTTAACATGTACATAGCAGTAAGGCATCGTGCACACCAAACGTATTATCGGCCGCTGATTGTGAGCGCGCGTTACGTAGTTTATCGCTTTTCCATATTTATATTTAACATCTCGTTCACACCAAACAGATTATATGTTGTCGACAGTGCGCATACTTACAGTCGGCGGACAATGCGTTTGGTGCGAACTATGCCTAATATTTCCAACTTATATTAGAGGCATGTTTCCCAATGTCAGATTAAGTTGTTGAAAGGCTAACTGAGACATATCATCAAATAATTATTCATCAGTTAGACTAACAAGTCTAATCAGATATTGTGAAACAGGCCTTAAATGTATAACAACATTATTAAAATCAGTCACACAACACATGTCATATGTTAATGTACACTATCCAGTTGTACAGGCAGCTTGTCCTGGTAGTATTCGTGGTCAAACCTAGTCACCAGGATCCCTCCTGAGACCTTCACATCACTGTCTGCCGAGTAGTCTATAGCTTCACCTTTTATAGTGCTCATTTTACCATGTACTGACTTAATGATTGCGTCGCCCGCGCACAAATCCCATTTCTTAATCGCAGTAGCGTGCAGGTACACGTCGTAGGTACCATTCACCACTTCCATCACCTTGTAACCAGCGCCCGCTGCCATGGAGACTGTGGTCTTCGGCCCGAACGCTGCTTTCGCTATTTCCTCCACTTTCCCAGGATGTGAGCGAGAGATCACAACTCTGGGGTGTTCCTTGTTTTCCTCTTTCTGTAAGTATAATATGTATAAAATGAATATGCACATATTGCCCCATTATCCAATATGCACACTTATTGTATGATAGGGCGCCCTCATCTCGCGAGTGCGCCGCTCGCGAACGTGATCACGTACTGCGTGCGTGCATTTTTCATTAATATTCAAAAACGCACAGTTTGTGTAATGCTAACAATGTTCTACAGTTAGAGATATTTACATATAAAAAATAAATAAATAAAGAATCTTACATGTGGCACAATAGGCATGTTGGCAGATGGTTTCTTAGTGAACCAGCCCCAGTAAGTGCGCGGTAGGAAGGGGTAGTGGATCACGCCTATGACGGGCACCCCTTTGATAGCTACACACACCATAGTGGTCACATACTGGTACAGGCCCTCTGAAATATTAATATACAGGTAAATTAAATAATGTAAGTTTTGGTTTCTTTCAAAACATTGTGGACTGAAAAGTAACCCTATGTACTGATATTTAAAGTTGAAAATACTGGTACAAAACTTATAAATTGAAATGAATAAAAACAAATCAGTTGTATGTATTTTTATCTAAATTAGTTTAACAAATGTTATCATTTTAATTAAGGGAAACATTCAGAATAAATTTTGACTATACATTTTCTATATTATAGTCAGATTAAGTAATAAGCATGCATTTAAACTGTCTAACACCAAGCGGTCACCGGTGACCGCAACCTATTGTTCTATAATTGTGTCTATAATTATGGTACTCAACGAGTTAATAAAGATTCAAATATAACTAGTAAGTGTCTACAGGAGGTAGACAAAACATTTTTTTTATATTGATTTCATTTGTTAAAAATGATCTCTAAATTACAAAATAAACTCTAATCATCAATCATAAAGCCTAAAATTTATAAACTAGCCAAACAAACTACTCCCTTTAGTAATTAATAAGGCATGTTACAACACTACAAATAAAGTGCACCAATAAGTCCATAGAAGTAACAAAACATTCTTTTTTTATTGCCTTATCAGCATTTATGGTGACAATATGGCTAAACATACATTTCACTAACACTGCTATCACATGCTAAGTAAATAAATTACCTATTAGATTATTATTAATCATGCATTTATTTGTGTTTTATATTACAGGAATAGATGATAAAGTTGTAATGTTTACCTGTATATTCTTTCGTCGCATCCAAGGGGTCAATCCATACTGTAACATCCTTCATATAAACTAATTCATCATTCAAATACTCTATTATACTGTTTCCTGGCAATGCTTTGTCTACATCTAACATTTGCTGGTTTTCACATCCTGAACCACTCTTTGAATGCTCCTCAGACACCACCGTCAACTTCTCAAACGTGTTCTTTAAGCTGTAGTACATTGCGCAATGTGAGGCATAGTCTGCATCGGTCACCGGGTCATTTACACCTTCCAACGTTTTACCTTTACTTTTAATATTCAGTTCGTGACTATTTCCGTCTAAAACCTTCTTCCCACCCATCTCAGCGGCTTGGATTGACGCCTTTAATAAGCTTTTTAAGTTAATAAGATCACTTTTCTCCAAAGGAAAACCAGCATTCCCACTTCGCCAATAAATTATTAAAAACAATATAAAACCTAACGTGAAACACGCAAATTTATTTACTCTTAACGTTCCACCAAAATTCATTGTGTACTTCTTTATTTACAAGAGATTTTACAGAATTTTGAATTTGTTTTGAGACGAGGTGTGGATATTTTTCAAAACATTACAGTACATTTCAGTGTGGCAGTTGACAGCTCGACAATCACAATACGAGTTTTTTGACAACGGTGAATGATAAAACACGTTCGGATACGTAGTATAAATGTAAAAGTCGATTAAATAGTTTGTTAGTTGTTGTTTTTAGTAACAGCGCGACATCTCTAAAATCTATGCCTTGATGTGTGACAGAGACAAAAACTTTCAATTTTTTTTGTAGCTGTCACAGTTACCAATTTTAGTGATGTGCCAACTCGGAAAAAACAAAACTCGATTTAACTCGAGTTAAAATCCACGTAACCCGGTTTGAACTCGAATTACGTAACTCGAGTTAACTGAAGGGACCAGTGAATGTTTTTTTTGAGTGTTTTCCTTATTATTCCCTCAGCTTGGCATAAATACTTTAAAAAATTGGAACAGACAATCTGAAATGGCTGCAAATCTTTAACTATCAGATTTATTAAAGCGTTATTACCAGAATTTTGCGTAATTTTTTTTGGCACAGTAAGACGGGTTTGGTGGATGTGCCTTAACCTTTTTTGAGGAGGCTCAGACTCAACATTCAGTGTGGTTGTCGATACCAGTAACTGCGATGAAGATGAATCAACCGAAGTACTCGTAGTACTTTCATTTGTTGATGATGAACTCTCCTCGATGGCAACAGTGGAAGGATGCTTCTTTTTAATGTGGTTTAATAATGTGGTCGTATTTCCACTATATTTGAATGAATCTGAACACTGTTTACACCTAACACGTCCACTCACTGACGATGATTCGAATACATCCCAAACTATAGATTTTCTTTTAGGACCTGGCATTTTTAAAAACATAACAACGCATAACACGCAAAAACTAACCGGCACTTTAAAGATAACCTCAAATCTACATGTTATTGTTATGATACTCTTTTGTTTGTTATGAATGAATGAATGTCAGTGAAAGAAATGAATATAGTCTCACTCAAATGATCGGCAAACTTCGCTCCATGTCGGTTCTATTCGGTTTTCGAACTCGAGTTAGAGAGAATTCAACTCGAGTGGATTCGAGTTACGTCCAACTCGAGTTGACTCGAGTTAGGTGTTCGAGTTAACCATCACTAACCAATTTTTTTTATCAGTCTGTGACCGGCATTGAACACGAGAGAGGAAGTAAACCTCGAATATAGTATTTTTACAATTATTTTAGAAATTTATATAGTTTCTGTACTGGAATAGTGATAGATAGAGTCCATAAAATGATTCTAATTGGTGTATTTGACATCGTAAGTTGAGTTTCATTAATATTTGAATTACTCATCAATCTCACTTCTTTAGGGGATTTTTTTAACAAATAATTTACTTTCAGGCGAGTTGGTGGACTATAGTCATCGCTTTCCAAGTAGTTGTAATTTCTACTTACTTCTTCTGGAACAAAAAGAAGTCTAAAACCTACGATCCTCTATGTAACGGGAAGGCGATAGAATGGAACCCGATTCCTATAGTGGAGCATGATGTTACGGTAGAAGAACCTCCATTGATGGGAAGAATTGATGACAATGTGTTGAATGTGGGAAGTTCAAGTTTCCTTGCCCTTGACAAAGAGGAGTCTATCATGGAGGATTCTTTGAAGTCTATGGAGAAATATGGGGTAGGTTCCTGTGGACCTCGTGGGTTCTATGGGACTATTGACGTCCACTTGGAGTTGGAGGAACGCCTGGCGAAGTTCTTAGAAGTGGAAGAGACCTGTGTGTACTCATATGGCTTCTCAACAATAGCCAGTGCTATACCATCATACTCTAAGAAGAAGGACATTATTTTTGCGTAAGTTTTACAAATAAAACTATAAATATTTTACATAAGTTAATTAACAAATGACTAACAATTTATTTTTATTTGAAATATCAATACTGCTAAGTTCTCAGTATTGATAACAACTTCCTTGTGTTGAAGAATGCACTCCATCTGAAGTGTGTTCCCCTGTGCAGTATATCATCATGGCTATAATGCCTATTTAAATAATTCCTTTATACCTAATTGTCCATTTTGCCAAATTCATTATGTCTTTATTAGTACCTAATGTTTCTTATTAGAAAGACCAGCATCTAACTGTGACTTCTTACTTTTGCCAAGGCTAAATAAATGCTTGTTCTGAATTTATGTCAGGTTTCAGCATCATGTATAAACAAACATGTATTGTGTGAAAACTGGAGAAAATAGATATTATTTCCTTCAGTTTTGTTTTACTATTTGTCAGTCTCATTGAACAATTTATTTTGGTTTTCAAAGATTCTTATTTGAAATATTAATCTTAACACTAATATTTTTCGATCAATGATGGTTTAAATTTTTTTATTTGAACCACCAATACTTAATTAAAGACCAAACAAAAAAATTATAAATAGTAATAAATTTTTGTTAAAAAAACGTAACCATTATACTGTATGTACTGAAGTCATCAAAACATACATCTTTATAAGATTATATTTTTCTTTAGTTACTGTGTACAACTGTACAGTTATAATTCTTATTTATAGTAGATATTAATATTTATTGTAATCTGATTATTATTACACAAATAACAATTTATGTACCATATTGTAATTTAAAATAAATGGTATGGTTTTGTGCTTTGGCAAGTGCTAATATTTCATACATGTTTTTTTTATATGTTGACAATTTATTTATGGTGTCTGACAGTATTCAAATAGGTGTACACAAAAAATACTGTACTGTGTGTGTCCAATAAAATGTTTGAGATTTAGCTAATTATACAAATGCTTGAAAGTAGCAAAAATGGGACCTGTCCCGTTTCCAAAAAGTCTTAAAAAGTTTGTCAACCTCAGCTCAAGCTGTTCTAGAGAACAGGACACTTCCAAAGTACAACCTCCTTGTCTTCGTTTTACATTGGTTATATCAATTGCCACTGTGTTTGTGATTAATACAAATAAAATTCCTAACTAGTCCTAACATTTCAGTGATGAACGTGTTTGGTTTGCGATCCAGAAGGGTTTAGATTCCTCCCGCAGTACTGTCCGCTTCTTTAAACATAATGATATGGACCACCTCAAGAAGCTGCTGTCTGAAGCTCAGCAAAAGAAGGAACTGAACCCTAAGAGACGAGCATTCATTGTCGCTGAGGGCATTTACTTGAACACTGGAGAAATGTGCCCGCTAAAGAGATTGGTGCAGCTCGCCAGGGAATACAAATTGAGAATTATCTTGGATGAGAGTCTCACTATCGGGGTAAGTTTTATAAATTTCACACAGCTACCTTTCCACATTTTGGAACAAATACCTGAAATCTTACTATTTTACTAAGTATTTATAATTCATTTAATGTAAATAAAATATATGGCTAATCTATATTAATAAAAATGGATCATCAAAATATGCATGCATGACTTCATAATTCATTGCATCAAATTACATTTTAGTTCGATCACTTTTATCAGGACCATTATTTCATGTCACACAAATTTTATAGATTCACCTGGAATGTGCGCGCGTACCGCTAGAGCTAATGATATATAAAAATGGCACATTAATCATGGTTTTGAATACAATAGCATTCATATCGTATATGGATGTGCTTCGGCTAAGAATAGCAGTGAATAAGTCACCTATTTTATATCCCAATTAAATTGTGTAGGACTTGTTTAATTGGGTATTTTTAAAACATTGCCTTTACCCCAAGTGTGGGAGAGCCATGCTTCGGCAAAAATGGGCCGGCTCGACCGGAGTGATACTACGACCGCACAGAAAACCGACGTGAAACAACGCTTACGTTATGTTTCGTCGTGTGAGTGAGGTTACCGGAGGCCCAATCACCCCCATCACCCCCATCCCCAGTCTCCCCATTTCCCGAATCCTCCACAATCCTCAAATTCCCAATTCCCAAAAGGTCGATAACGCACTTGTTACGCGTCGTATCCATAGGCGACGCCAGGTGTCCATAGGCGACGCCGATTGCTTACCATCAGGTTGTTTACCGGTTTATCCCATAAAAAAACCCGCGCCTAATGGTTTCTCAGAAGTTGAAGAGAAAATTAGTAATCTACATTCCTGCCACTGAGAATTTGATATGGTATATAATCAAACTCAATTATTTGTGCCCCATGTCATTCTTAGCGAGTGACCGAAGGAATAACAAATATTATTCCTTACATTATTCTCCCTTTGATTCCTTTATAGTAGAAACAGTATTCTTATTTCGGAAAAGATCAGTGTCGTAACCAGACTCCTAACGTGGGTTTGATAATATCCACTGTACTTACATCTAATATGGCCGGAATAAAGCACCTACACATACCATCTATCTTGTAAAACAGCAATATTGTACTAGCCTACTCTAATAAAGGTAAGAGGTACATACTAATAGCGTCATCTCTTTTTCTAAACAGGACAAGGAATTGTTATACAACATATAGAAAAAGGATAGATAGAGTGATTCTTGAGGTTTGAGGAATGATTACATTTATTTGGTGACAACCGCATCAAAATGTATTCAGTAGTTTTTGAGTTTACCACTGAGGGATAGACAAACGCGGCTTTTCTGCTATAACTATGCAAGAATAAGAGCCGACTGGGTCGTATCCTATTTTGTATGTACCTACTTAACGTAAATATGCTAGTACGCTTGCACTTTGAAAGGCCCGAGGTAACAGAGATAAGTTGATAATCAGATTATCATACGAATATGACCTACTAATTAAATCACTTTAGGTATAAGTATAAAAGTTTTAAATATTAAAGATCTTTTCTACGCTTAATGAAAATTCTGGTCCGCTGTCACAGAAGAGGGGCTTCTGTATAAAAATTATGATGAATAATAAAAAATATATATAAATATAGTTGAACATAGGCATAATATACGTTTTTTTAATGCGCTTTTTTGAAGTTTATTGCAGTTATTTAAGTACATACGTACGAATACTTTACGTAATATAAAACCATAATATTTATGAAATAACATACATTCTAGCAACGAAACGTATTTACGTATTATTTTGATATTTATTACCCCCTATATACCTAGATTATTGCCTATAAAAATATCGATGGCTTCCGGCCAATATTCCAACATATTAACAAATTCCGACATATTTCTTTGCGAAATCGACTTATCAACTAAAAATCGCGGGTTACTCACGTGTATATATTGGGAAAAGCTCTACTAGTTTCGAACCACAGAGGGGTTCTTCATGAGCAGCGTGCGCGGTCGCGGCGATGTCGCGTAGTCAGTAGGCTGCGCGATTTTTAGTTACTACAGTATGCCTCACGATAGTTATTATAAAGAATAGACTTATATTATGTAAATGTTAGAATCTGCATAGAATATATATCTTAACCTTCAAGTACTGACGTGGTTTACTCATACCATAAACGGTGACGTGACGTCTATCAAACACCTTAATAATTAATCGAAATGGATTACTTGTATTTACTGATTTGCACAATATTTACTTGTATTCTAATCGGTCCATTATAATTCTATTAAGGAAGTGCAAAAAATACAACGTTCTCGGATGAAATCAGCGGTTTCTGATTCAAATTTTATAAACTTAAAATATAAATATTTCGCATAACTTAAAAAAATATATGTTAAAATCTTAGCTACAATACAATTATTTGGACGTTTTTTTGGAAAATTCTTATATTCGTGAACACGCCGTCTATGAGACACCCACGTCAGTAGTTAAAGGTTAATTAAGTCGATTTCACAAATACATGTCGCTTACCCTCTTTTGGCCGGAAGGCGTCGATATGAAACCGGTAACTTTGTAATAAATGTAAGAAAAAGTTAATTAGTTAGTAGTTCGGGTCCTATGCGCGAACTTCACCTATTCAAGACTTGCAATTAATTAAAATCTTAGAAATATTTATTAATTTGTTTAATGAGTATTTTTAATTGGTCAAATTAGCACTGATCTCTCCGTAATGGTATTCTTTGCAATTCAACCTTGTGTGCGGTGTGATCAGCTTATCAAAATTAAAATATCTAATAAGTTTAAGTATGTACCTGACCTTTCAAACAAAAGGTTAAAAATTGAACTCTTAAGAAGTAATTTTAAGCAAGCAATATTTTTGTACAATATATAGTGCCTGTTGGGCATTATCAGTCCTTATCGATTCTGCAAGCAACGCTTAATTCAAATATATATTTTAAAGCAATATGCTTTATTCTATGTAATGTAACGCAACTGTATTTGTATTTTTTTTATTCCCGTTAAGTAACTCCATTATTATATTTATTACACCATTATTATTTAAAACATCGTTATGGTCTATCTGTTTCTAACATAGCTTGAAGCCGCGAGCCGGAGGTAGGCCGAGTTCAATAGTAAAAAACGGAATGCGGGCATCAATGGAGGCAATGATTTAATAAAGATCTATTAGATACATTAGCTTCGCACTCTACTACTCGCTCGGTTGAAAATCTCGGTCATTGCGAGTGCATTCGGTGCAAACTAATTATAGCTAGCAGAAGTAATTTGCACGTAACGTACTCGAGTAACACACATGTCGGTGCGGAGAGTACAAATACAGTGCAGACAAAACATAGGTGATTACAGTATTGAAGCTTTATACAGACACTAGGTATGACGTCATGGTATCGCATATGTTTGTTAGTAAATTCAGAATGTTTATGCATATTTTCGCCTTGAGATTTCATTGCCTCTATGGTTGAATGGTCGCACTTATAAGGTTTATGGTTTTCAAATTTTTACTAAACTTATTAATTTGGAACAATAAAACATAATAAACAATGTTAAAAAAATGTTTCTTATAAGACTTGAGAATTCACTATAATACCTAATATTTATACTTGATAATAGATTAAACAGACAGGCAGCAGTAGACACTCGTAGGTAGGTATATTTATCACTTAAATAATAAAAGTAAAAAAAACGTAAACAATGCACACTCGTCTAGGTCTTTAAGGCCAATTAATGACTAGAGTAATTAAAAAAATGAATCTTAAGCACTAATATATCTAACATTAGTGTCCGCATTACTGGGCTAGCAAATATAAGTTTAAAATAAATTTATTATTTTTGTTAATAACCTGACTGTGCGTAGAAACCTTGAATTGGGTATTTGTTATTGAAGTCTCGTAACTTGTAAAAAGTAGGTACTTAGGTACTTACTAAAAACTTCACCTTGACCTCATGTTTAGCTGAATGCTTGCGATTACTCCATTATCAAATTGTTTATAACTTTGTTTAACATATTTATTTATTATTTGTATAACAAATAGTTGATATTTTGAATCTTATATCTAATATTCATGCAAAATTTGAAGTAAATCCAAGCAGTACCTTTTGAGTTTTGCTTGGATCTACGTACAGACAAACAGACAAGACTTTCAAAAACTATATCCACAGATAATTTTTAACTGTAGAATAAGATTGTCATTTGTCAGGTTTTAGTATGGAATAATTGTCAAATATTCAAAGTTATTCCTCTAATATAATAGGCGTTGGGAAAATCGGCCCTTAGTTATAATGTTAATGTACAGGTACAGTTTGTTTGAGGGATCACTAGAGAGGATTTCCAAAATCCCTTTTTTAAATGCACATTCTTATTGCAATTCTCAGGAAATACTTACTGACAATTATAATTTATTGTTTCGTAATATAAATAACATAAATTATAATTAGGTACCTTTTTGTATGTAATAAGAACCCACTTAAGGTCGGTTTTCCTACATCCTACAGATAATAATAAAAAATCATTCTTATCTTTGTCTTCAAAATTAAATCAGATCATAAAATTAACGCAAAAGTCACGTAATGATAATTACATAAATACTGCTCGAAATAAGTCACAAGCTACTTGGAAGATAATAAATACAAATAAATTTAATGTCCCTAAAGATCAAATGCAACAGATAACTGTTGATGGTAATATAATAACTGAACCTAAACAGATTGCTAACTATTTCAACAATTTCTTCATTGACAAAATTAAAATTTCCGCACCAAATAATCCAAGATCTCGAATAACGCGCGAAATCCCATTCGAACCAAATTCTATATTTATGTATCCAACTATACCAGCAGATATATACAGAATAATTAAAGGCCTCAAGAACACAAATAGTACTGGATATGATGATATATCAACAAAAATATTAAAACACGTATCTACTAAGTTATCGTATATTCTTAGTCATATAATAAATTTAAGTATAACAAATGGAGTCTTCCCAGAAAAACTGAAATTAACTGTAATTAAACCTTTATTTAAAAAAGGCAATAAAAATGAGGTGAACTGCTACCGCCCAATAGCTCTTGTACCAGTCATATCAAAGATATTTGAGAAAGTGATCCATGATAGTATTTACAATTATTTTGAGAAAAATAACTTATTTTGTACCGAACAAATTGGTTTTCGTAAAAATAAATCGATTAATATAGCAGTATATAATTTTCTACAGAGCATATTAACTGACATGGACAAAGGCGGACAAACGTGTGCATTGTTTATGGACCTCACAAAGGCATTTGATTATGTGGACCACAAAATACTCCTTAATAAATTGTACGCTTACGGTGTCAGAGGAAATATACATAACTTGATTAAATCATACTTAGGTAATAGATCACAAGTAACGCAAATAACAAGGATATGTCCCTATGCCAAAAAAAATATAAATTATTTATCCTCATGTAGAAAAGTAATATCTGGAGTTCCACAAGGAAGTGTACTGGGCCCGCTTCTTTTTATAATATACATTAATGATCTCCCAAAGGCCACTAAATACAACACGATTTTGTTTGCTGATGACAGTACTATAGTGTTCACAGGAGATAGTAAATCACGCATGGAACTTGAGATAAACATGACTTTAGAAAACATCATAAATTGGCTAACATTAAACAATCTACACATAAATCTCAACAAAACAAATTTCATGACATTCAGAAATAGAGTTAGTAAAATAGCAAACATGAATATAAATTATCGCGACACCAAGATCCAAGAAGTTGACGTTACGAGATTTCTGGGTATATACATAGACAACAATATAAATTTTAAGGAACATATCCATCTACTGTGCACTAAATTGAATGCCTTTTCTTATGCATTGTTTAAAATTAAACAAACGGTTAATATTTCTACAGTCCTTACAGCCTACAATGGCTATGTTGTACCTATTTTGAAGTATTGTGTTATTTTTTGGGGCAATACTACCAATAAAGAAGCTGTGTTTAAAGCCCAGAAGAGGTGTATCCGAGCCATAACTAGTATAAAAATAACTGACAGCTGTAGACCATTGTTTTTGAAATTAAATATTCTTACTTTACCTTGCATATATATATTCGAAGTTATAATGTTTGTTAGAAGGAATACACACTATTTTAATAAGTTACATAGTAAAAGACACAAATTCAATGTATGTCTACCAAGCAACAAAACAACATTATTAAATAAAAGTATATTATGTATGGCTCCACGCATATATAATCATTTACCAAATTCATTTCTGGGCATAAGTGATGAAAATATATTTAAAAACAGTGTTAAAACACTGTTACTGAAGAAAGCATATTACTCTGTCACAGAATATTTACAGGATAAGCTTATATAATGTTACCTCATTTGTAAAATACTAGTTTATTGGTGCCTAATATGTCTTATTGTATCTTTCTTTTAAATTTGCATGCCTTTAAGGTAGAATATGGTTAATGGACACTATTTTGTATTTATAAGACCTTTTTTTTTTGTACCCATGTTCGCAAATGAATAAATGATTTGATTTGATTTGATTTGATTTTCAATCAACAGCTAATTCTTAACCGTAGAACAACATTGGACATTTAACAGTCTTTAGTATCTATGGTAGTAAAAATCGACTCTTAACCATTCATATTAGTTACGAAATATTTGTGTATTAAGTTGACACCTTGTCGATTTAAATACTATTATTTTTTACTATTAGGTAGGTATGTACTTACCTGCCTACATTAAGACGACAACCTACAACTTTGGACATATTATTAAACTTGTACAAATCTGTACTGCTATTTCTGAAAATTAATAACATTTGAAACTTCAACCGAAAATCAAATCTGAAGCCACGCTCTAACATTCACCTACTTATTATAGTAAATTATTAAATAAATTATCACGTTATTGTTCTCAGGTATTAGGCAAAAATGGGCGTGGCTTAACAGAACACTTGGGTGTGCCTCGCCATGAGATCGACCTGATCGTGGGGTCGTTGGAGCACTCGTTCGCGACCATCGGCGGGTTCTGCGCCGGCACACACTTCATTGTCGAACATCAGAGGCTGTCTGGACTTGGTATGTGGAGAATTTTTTTATTTGATATAGGCATAACGTGACCACCGCAAAGAATAGATAGCGATAACTCGTGGATAGGCAGCACTGTACATAAAAAATGTAACACCCACTTTTCACCAGTAATATTACAACTTTTTAAACCGATTCTTGGATTCAACGCCAGAGTGTGATGTGTTTTCGAGTGCAAGAAGATTATTTTTGTTGATATGCTTGAAGTTTTGCGAAAGAGATGAATGAAGTATCTAATAATGTTTCTTTCAATTGTATATGTATTGAATATTGTAATTGGTATTTTGTACCGTCCTATTCGTATAAATAAATAAACCTATAAACCTGAATGAACTAAAAATTACGAATTACTCACGTGAATGTTCTGAGTTCTACTAGTTTCGAGTCACAGGAAGTCTTCCTCATGAGCAGCATGCACATTCGCGCAGCATACTCTGCGTGTATGTCTCACGATTATTATATTATATTATAAAAATAAACCTCTAAAACTTCAGCAGTCCAGTCTTCAAAACGTACGAGACGAAAGCTTTTATTTAGCATAATATTTCTGTGAACAGAAGAGCCATTAGTATGCGTGCAATATTTATGTTGTAATGTAATAACTTCGGTTTGCAGGATACTGCTTCAGCGCGTCCCTACCACCGATGCTGACCCAGGCTGCCATCTCAGCCCTCAACGTGATCGAAGGCAAGCCCTCCATCGTTGGAGAGCTGATCGAGAACTCTAAGAAACTTAATAGGTTAGTAACAGAAATTTTCAGCCGATTTTAATCACCGGCCTTTATCTAAAATCTTTGGCTTAGATTATTGACATTATCTATGTGGAGTGCTTGTCGATAACCTGAATCGATCATGAAATTTAAGATCGATTATTAATTTCTACCAATAAACAAGCATTCTATCCGCACATTTGCAATATGCACATCCGTTTACAATTTACTCTAAAACGGTTGAACAGATTGAGTGATTATCGAACTTGAACTCTATTACAAAAGCTTTAGATTGAAAATCTATAAAAAAAATACTTTGCAACGATGCAATGCACTAAAGAATACCACATCTACATCTGTATAGCACTTTTGTTGCAAACGAAAAGGATGTGAAGATTAATTAAATTATTTGTTTTTGAATCTTTATTTGGTTAACAGAGTAATTAATGTGTCATCTATCGATCATTGCACTGGTCTGGTTATTAATTACCGTCCGTCCGTTATCCGTCTATCTATGTATAAATAAAGTTATCACAAATAGCGTTGCTAGGCGCTAATCTCGAAAACGGCTGGAACAAGTTGGATCATTACTTTTTGTTGAAGATATATTTTATTCAATTCCCAGATCGGGCAAAGTATTACTGCATTTAAAAAAAAAATCTCAGTAGTAGCACGGAGTTTGGAAAATGTGCCCGTTATATGGCAATAGGCTCACCCCCTATTACATGGGACTCATAACATAAATAGTGAAAAGTGGGTTATACCTCTGTGTGCACCTGTGCCTACCTCTTCGGAGATAAAAGGCGTGATGTTATGTTATATATTTTATTGTGATATTTTTTTACATTTTATTGTTCACGTCTCTCATCCCTTGAGGAATATAATTTATTTTAACTTGAACCACATAGATCATAATGTATATGTATACTAATATTTAGTGTGAAGGAAGTACATATGTACTGAATGCACTCATTTCCTATATAAATATTAAAATTGCCTAGTTTCCGTATAGTTGAGGAAAATTATTTTATAACGAGTATCATCAATACATAGTATAAAACTAAATCGCTATCCGCCGTCTGTCTGTCCCTATGTATCCTTAGATCTTTAAAACTACATAGATATTTAAATAGATAGAGTAATTCTTAAGGAAGGTTTCTCTGTATAATACATCCATATTGCACCCGTGCGAAGCCAGGGCGGGTCGCTAGTAAAGCATAAATAATGATGTTACCCCCTAATAGGTTAGGTTAGGGGGTAACATCATAATTTATGCTTAAAAATACTGTATTAAAATGCAGTATTTTTGCTAATCATGATAACCGCAACTCAATTTACAATTTTCACTTTATCTTTGTAGTACAATTTTCATGTTTGTAGTACGATTTGAACAGCAAATATTTGCGAAAAGTCAGACGTCAGTCACTTCAAATTTTTATAGATCCGTGGGTCGGAAGACATAAATAAAGATATCAAAAAATCGAACGCGTTGTGTTGCGTCGCGTCGCGTGAGCGAGGTTACCCGAGGTAACCCCCAAATTCCTAGTCCCTTAAAGGCCGGCGGCAATGTACTTGTAACTTGGACTCCTCTAGTGTTTCGAGTCTGTAGTGGGTTGTGCCAATGGGGGCTACCTTTTTAATTTTTTTTTTTTCAATCACTAGGTAGCGATAATTTGGCTAGAGGCCAGTTCGTCTAACCAATTACTATAGTTGTCATAAAGTAAATGACCAATGAACTCTAGCTAATTCCCTATTGAACGAAAATCGAGTGGCACACACTAGCTCCATCTGGGGAAAAAAATGGTAGCACCAATGCTTACTATCTGGTGATCCCTTTGCTCGTTTGCCTCAAAAATATAATTAGTGTTGATTCACAGATAATATAATTTACAACCATAACTAATGAATGAAGCTCAATAAATCATTCTTAAACAAATATTATGAATGATATATGAACCTATGAAATTAATTACCTTTTGAACTATTCATGCATGCAACTATATTGGCGTTTTGATAACAATATGACTATTCGAGTTGATATTTGATAAGAGTCGCGCGGTATGTTACCGGCGATAAAGCCGATGTCAAGGGTGTATGACTCAAGCACTCGGTTGCTTCATACATAATGTCTATTTTTACAAGGAATGTGTGATACTCGGTTATATTATTGTATGTGTCAATAAATGCATGAATTTTGTATGACCTGTCTTATGTGTCGAAATACTCAAACGCTACACTCAATCTTAAGTATTGTTCTGTCACTACAAGATCTTTGTACAAATGAAAGAGATGGCACGATATTCAAGTCCAGTATTCGACTGTGAGCCAAGTAATGATTTTTTAACCGACTTCCCAAAAAAGGAGGTTGTATTTTAAGTTAGATTACAAGTTCTACAATCTATAGAGGCTGAGTTTTCTTTAAATACAAGATACTTTTCACACAGATAAGTTATCAACTTCATTACGATATGAAAATATTACCAATGACTAAGTAAAATTTAGATCTCTTTGGTATTAGTATAACTTTGTTAAGTTAAAAGGCAATATCAATTCACTCGACGAAAACATAGGTAGGTATTGAATAAATTGCAAGTTGTATTAGAATGTCGACGTTATCTATTATAATCTATTTTATATTTAAGATCATCAATATCATTATATATATTGATAAATCATTATATCTGTCTTCATAGTCTCTTAGTAGGTAATCATGTTATAATCAGCTCAGTTTAAGATTACAGCCCGCGATATCGCAGCGCAGTATGTCACGCGATCATTAATTTTATTGCTCTATAAAATGTTTCCTTCAAACAATGTGTGCATGTCAATTCAATCTTAATTTAGCTAATAGTAGGTTATATGATATTTCCGAAAACAGGAATGTGTGTTATTAAATAAATTGAACACCAGGACTTATTCCTTTTGATTTTACTTGACACCAAATCTTGTGCATCTCTAGAGCGTAGGCAGAAATTACAGAGTACTAAAATCCTTTTATAATCTTTTACAGAGGTGGACAAAACCTAGAGAGCGCTCTAAGCAAGCACCTTATAGGCGCACTTAATTCTTTTTGGCCTCCGCCACTCTTTAGGTAGTTGGACGCGTGTATTGCGGCGCACCAATATATTATCTTGATGTCCTAGGCACTTGCTTATTTGTCTAAAGAATAATACAGCTCTGCTCTTTTATGATTTATTACTCATGCATCTGGTCTCTCATACAATCAAGCTGGTAAAGTAAAGGGTTATCATTTGTACATTGCAATTCACAGTACCTAAGTACCTCTACAATGAATTCAGCAGTTTATTTATATATTTATTTTCTTTTCAGTGCCCTCTCCAAGCTGAAGCACTACAAGTTCCGAGGTGACGAGGTCTCGCCGATAAAGCACATATACCTCAAGAAGGACGACTTAACAGACAGACTGAAACACTCCTACCTTCGTAATATTACCAACTACTGCCTAGAAAAAGGTGTCGCCATGACACTAGCCGCGTACATCCGTGATGTAGAAATCAATTGTCCAGAACCTTCCATCCGTTTAACAAGCAGCAGAAAACTTACAGATGATACCATCAGCTTAGTATGTTCGTTACTAGATGAGGCCTACGAGAAAGTAGGTCCCAAACCTGAACTACAGCCTGTGTAGAGCGATACCATTGCCTCAACTTTATAGTCTATGGCAATTTAGGCGGGAAGTACAATTTTTTTTTGTTTCTTTTTTCTATCTTTTTGTTGTAAGAGTAATTGTTTTTTTGTGTAAATGTGTAAGCATTAATAGAAAGTTGTTACACACATCAGAATAATATTTTTCACTGCATTTAAGGAGCGAATATAGGTAAGAACTACATTATTATTATTATAAGTTTAATTTGGTAGTTATATAATGCTAAGTAACAATGCAATAGCACATTCAATGAAATTATATTTGTTTTATATCTACTATGTTCATGGAACAGATTCTACTTTATATTTTATTAGGTCTCCAGTAAGAAAAACCTTAAATATTTTTAATTTATTTAATTTAGGGCAACACTAATAACAGAAGCAAGGATTGGCTACTTACTTAGAGGATTTATTTTTGTAACTTTTATTATTTTAAACTTCGAATTTTAGTGTATAGATTATCCAATGAAGCTTATCAAAAAAAAATAACGTAAATGAATAATACATTTATTTTATAACTTATTATTGTATATATTTGAGTCCATAACCAAAGACGTTGAAAAAGAAAGCGAACGTAATGTCACTTAGAAATGATTGACGCACCAAAATGTCAGTGGTGTATCTATGTGAGCGTGTGCCGTATACTTGCAACACCGTAATGTATGAGGTGTAATGACGGGCCATGTCACGCGACAGCATGTCCTTCGTGTCAATGTGTGTGTATTCTGCATGTAAGTCTAGAGTAGCCAGGTGCCACAGTCGTTGTTTCAAGAGACTATGTCCGTTTTTTCCAACGTCCTTGTCCATAAACGCTTAAACATTATATTCCAAATATTAATTGTTGTTAGATTCATAGCATTAATATTATGCGTCATACTGGTTTTATAATAAGAACTTTTAACTTATAATATTTGCTTGAAGGCCACGGCAAGGAAACTTAAACCTTAAAGTGTTCTACATTGGATACAAGTCCAATTTACGTTACATTTTATGTCTAGAAGGATTGTCAAAGTTCAAAAATTATTGTACGTCTTTGTGGCAGTCATAATCAATGGCCATTTGTCGTGCTTCTGTGAGCTATAACTTTTACTAGGTTATATGTGTGCGTGCATAATGATACCAATTGATAAAATTCTCCCGTTTAAAAGGTAGTATTTATCTACCACAAAAAAGTTAAGTCTAAACTCTTTGGTCATTATGAACGCTTTCCATTAAGTTTACCTCCTATTGTATTCTACACTTATAATATTACTTAGCATCCACAAACATTTAAGTAATTGCAACAGACACTAGTGTCTGTTGCAATTACTTAAATTGGTCTAGTAGTACTAATCTAGATTAAATATACAAGGTGTTGTTTTAAAGCCGCGTCATTTTCTAGGAGGTAACTCGGCTATCGATTCTGAGTCCGAATCAATAAAAAAAAATTGTAGGTAATTTTTCATTTTTCTGTAATTAGGGAAATCCGTAAGTGCGAAGTACAGGCCGCCGTCTTGTAACTTTATAACGCGGCTTAACACATACCAACTCAAACACGTAATTAATATTATTCCTAATTCCATAAAACTCCAATAAGAAACATTGCTGTCGCTTATTCTGAAATACTGTCGAAATTAAACGATTTATTATAGTCGTATTTTTAACTTTTGCTCCGAAATTTTCTCTTAAATTGAACCTTTATGACTTCTGTGATATGCCCCCGAGAAATGACACGGTTTCAAAACTACATCTTGTATATCATAGTGAATGGTTAATTCCATATAAAAATGATAATAGACACGCCTTTCGTTACAAAACGATGTATAACTGGCCTAGTAGTTTTATTTATCTACTCTCTACCTGCATGTATGTAGATACATAATAACTTAAGTATTACATATAAAACCTCATTTTTCATAGCATCAGTAGTGTTTATATTATTATACTTAATATTTAGTGCATTTCTTCAAACGTAACTACTTCGATATATTTCCTTTATTTAGTATTATGTAAAGTAAGAACAATGTGTATTGTGTTGTCAATTCGTGTATTTGAACAGGAGTGGAATAAATTAAAATTCAAATGTTAGACTGATACTGATTACTAAAGATCTTGTGTGAGGACAATATAAATAAAATCGCGATGGCTTAGCGCTGTTCGTAATAACTGACAATATGTTTACAATGAAAACAAAAACATATTAAATGATAAGTTTTTTACATAATTTCATAATATTTATGGTTCTATCACTTCCTCACGCAATGTGCATCCGTGACCAGTTAATCATTATACTAGCAATATTAATCCTACTCATAATTGCAGCTTTAAGCGTGTACATGGTGAATCGAATGATAAATTTCCGTTATCGATTAATTATTGATTAAATTACCATTAAAAGTTTATCGAATTTTTCCTGTCGAATACATGGTATTGACTCACTATTTTCAGTGCCTTGAATCTCATTTGATGTAAAAATGTTGAATAGTTTGAACACACATTCCACGCTGAGTATTATATTGTTACGTGTTTAGACAATATATAGTACATACTTGTTATATTATTATTTATTACAAACTGTTGGTCACCAGAGTTACATGTATAATGGAATCTATTCCAACTCTGATAACAGAAAAGAGAGGCTGTCCTACAAGTCACTACTGCCCACCTTTTGAGCAATGCAAGTGTGATAAACTTATGAATATAATAACATAAATAATTAATTAAATAAATGTGTGTTTTTACATCAAATGCTTGTTATGTTACAAGGTGTATTGTCACAAAGATCATGACGTGCTTATATTTGTAATAATTTATTATTATAATGTAAAATTAATATTAAAGTTCAGCACAGTTCTTGTTATGTTATTACATGAATAAATATGAGCATTTTTTAAATGTGTATTTTACTTATTTATAGTGAACACGACCGCTGATGGTGACAGTCTTTGATTTCCTTAAACCTAATATAAAGTACATATAACATTTAATATTTTAACTTATATTTTAAAAAATAAATAGTTTTTATCTAATATTGCGTTACATATTTACCTAATGGTGTAAAAGCCTTGAAAGGTGCTGACTAATGTCATTCTAATAACATTTAACTTTGCATTTATAAATAAATATTTTGCAGAGCAAACTATGAAATAAAGTTAAATATGATTACGAATTCCTGGCAACACCAACAACAGCATTAATATTTTTCAGTGTTGCCGTTAATTAATCAGTAACTAATTCGTCGCTCATGTGACAGTAGCCGACGTTTCTCTTAAACTCTGTTTCATCAGAAGAGTGGAGAGGTTTCCTGATCTCAATGAGCCGCCTGTCCGTCTCCAAAGCTTGGTTCTTGTATTGAAGGTCTTTCGTTACCCGTTGATGGTGGTTGTACATGCCGTGGTAAGTCGTGCTGTAAAATAAAAATATATTCCAACATATTGAGAACCTCTTTCATTTTTATTGCATTTGAAGGCGCTGCTGATACCTAAATTATTCAACAAAATGGGCATTAAAATGTCACATCATCATTATGGGGTTGCTATAACTAATAACTGATAACATAACATAACATCAGGCCTTTTTATCCCCGAAAGGGTAGGCAGAGGTGCACATTTCGGCACTTAATGCCACTGTACAATGTAACACCCACTTTCCACTATTTATATTATGAGTCCCATGTAATAGGGGGTGAGCCTATTGCCATATACCGGGCACATTTCCAGACTCCGTGCTACTACTGAGATTTTTAAAAACTCAGTAATACTTTGCCCCACCTGGGAATCGAACCCGACACCCCTTGCCTGGCACTCGGCCAACGAGACAGTCTATAACTGATAATTTTGAAAATTCAGAAAGAAAAAGTCAGGTAATTTGAAGTGATGTATACTTACATAGCTTCTTCAAGTTTCTTCTCCAGCATATTATGACTGGTGTGTACTCTCTCAAACTCTTCAATCAGGCCGCGCATGGGTTTGTCCTGTACTCGCTCGAGTACTGGCCGTCTCGTCCTGGTTTCCAGCCTCGTCTCCACTAACTTGGTCGGGTTTATTTTATCTGCTACCGCCGCTCGCAGTGTCTCTATCTCCCTGTCTACCTTTTGTAGATTCTGTTCCAACTATAAAAATAATAAATTACCTATCATAAATATCTTAAGGAAAAGTTACTCTTGGTTTTTTCTTAGTAAAGGGTATCTGATTACGAAGGTATATGGCCACGCCGCCACCACCCCCCACTGCCCGGTCATTCCTGATAAGATTGAAACCTGGAAGAGCGTAGGATGAAGAGGGGAGGCAAGGTTTCAACCATGACTCTGAAACAAGAATAGCATGGACATCTTTGCAACTTTTCTTAGTTTACTTATTTAGTAAGTATCATATTAATATCGTTATTAATTAATACAGTAGATACTTACCTTATACTTCTGCCACTCCATCTCATTCCTGGCCCTCTGTATATCGTACACCCTCCTCCTCATGATCAGCTCGACTTGCTGGCTCTGCGCGTACATCTGATTCCTGGCTTGCTCTCGACTCTTGAACATCGTCGCCCGAAGGTCCTTAGATTCCGCCATCAGCTGCTCAGCTATCTTTATAGTATTTTGTATGCAGTGCGCGTAACTTTCTTCTGTCATTGATCTGGGAAACCGAAAAAGATCAGGTTTATCCTAACGGAATAGCAGATTAATATAACTCAGGAGCTAGGAGTTGGTCCGGTTAAGCAGATTACACAAGAAAGCTCTGCTAATTGTCATTTAAAAAAATATCTGACTGAATCATTGTATACCAAACTCGATAGTAGGAGGAGCAGAAATGAAGCAACGATAACGTCCATCATTAGCACCAAAATCTTGGTAGCTCATCAACTTGTGAGCACGAAATTATAATAGGTAGGTACAACATTGTCTGCCTAAGTATTTTACAGATACTACACTTTAAGCACTGATTTTGGAGGGTCATGCAGACTACTTACTCAGTGGGTACTCTAGTAGGATCCAATTTGAAGCTGATATCGGTGCTGTCTCGAGTGAGGTCTTTGACGTGGTACTCCAAGTCGAGGGTTTCATCTTTATTCTTAATCTCGCGCTCCAGGCGACACAGTACGTTGGTCAGCTCCTTGATTTTCTCCCAGCCCATGTGACAGACGTCCATCAGCACACGCTTGCTATTCTCCGTGATGTGCAGCTCCTGGATAAATATCGGTGAGATTTATAAGGATGTATGTAATTTTTACTGCTACACTTCTTTAGCACTTTACACTTCTACACTTCTTTAGCGCCAAGTCATATAAAAAGGCACTGCGCGAGGCTCGGTTCAAACACATCGGCCGAATAGGGGCCAAACTTGCTTCTTACCCAACGGGTGGTAAGGCTTTTTGGTCCCTGGCCAAGTCGGTGGAATCGAACTTCTGTCGCCCCTCACTCCCACCACTACTGCGGTCTGATGGGACGCTGGCTTACACCGCAATGGAGAAAGCGAACTTATTCGCCTCTCTTTTTGCGGAGTCTTCGCGTCTTGATGCTGATGGCGCTTCACCACCTTCTATACACCAAGTATGCGAGACTAACATGTCGGACATTCGCATTCGACAGAAGGAGGTCTGCAGAACGTTGCGCAACCTGGACGTGAACAAAGCCAGTGGTCCTGATGGAATCCCGGCCGTAGTACTGAAAACTTGTGCACCTGAGTTAGCTCCAATCCTGACACGTCTGTTTCGCCTATCTTTGGAGACTGGTCAAGTGCCGAAAGCATGGAAGCTGGCCAACGTGCAACCTGTGCCTAAAAAAGGTAGTCGTGCCGACCCTAACAACTATAGACCTATCTCGGTCACGTCCATACTCTGTAAGTGTATGGAACGTGTACTGAATAACAGGCTCCTGGCATACCTTGAAGGTAACGATCTCCTTAGTGATCAGCAATATGGATTTCGCCGAAACCGATCTACTGGGGACCTTCTTGCATATGCCACCCACATCTGGAGCGAGGCCATCGAGAAACACGGGGAAGCGTTAGCCGTATCGCTCGATGTCTCGAAGGCCTTCGACAGGGTCTGGCACGATAGTCTTGTTGGCAAGCTTCCCGCATATGGACTCCCCACTGGTTTGTGCAGATGGATAGATAACAGACTTCCTGAGGGATCGATCCATCCGTGTGGTCATTGACGGCTGCTCATCCAATCCACTTGGTATTAATGCCGGGGTTCCTCAGGGGTCAGTACTCTCAGCAACACTTTTTCTGTTACACATTAATGACCTGCTCCAGCCCGGTATCTTTGGGTACGCAGATGACAGCACCGTTGTTGAGAGGTATGTGTCCGATGCGCGAACCAGTGCAACTCAAATCCAGTCTCTAAGAGAATCTATGGTAAATCGTCTGAACCTGTCCTTGCAGGCGGTCTCCGATTGGGGTGACGCCAATCTGGTCAGGTTCAATGCCAGCAAAACCCAGGCGTGTCTGTTTTCCGCTAAACGGAGTCGGTTCCCACTGACTCCTACTTTCCGGGGTGTGTCCGTTCCGATGGGTGACCGTCTCGAGCTTCTCGGCGTAACTCTGACGCCTCGTATATCGAGACAAAGGCGCAACTGACTGGAAGAAAGTTAGGTGTCCTGTCGAGGGTGAGACGGTACTTCACGCCGGAGCAGTTGCTCACTCTTTACCAAACACAAGTTCGGTCTTGTATGGAGTACCTACTGCTCCCATCTTTGGGATGGCTCAGCGAAATACCAGTTAGAAGCCCTCGAATCCATCGAGAGGCGTGCCAAGAAGCTCATCAATGACGATTCGCTTGTGGAGGCTCGGCTACAAAGCCTCGAACACAGGCGCAAAATCGCAAGCCTTTCGGTCTTCTATCGGATACATTTCGGTGAGTGTGCGTGGGAATTGCACAAACTTATTCCCCCTAGTCCATTTCACCACCGTACCACCAGACGAACGGCGGGACGCCATCCTTATATGGTGGACATTCCACCCATTCGAACGAAGCGTTTCGCGTCAAGCTTCCTCATGCGAACCGCTAAGGAATGGAATTCCTTGCCAGAGGCTGTGTTTCCCGTCAAATATGACTTGGGTGTCTTCAAGTCCCGAGTGAACAAGTTGCTCATAGGTAGGCGTGCTCCATCGTCGGCTACATCATCGCTTACCATCAGGCGAGATGGTGGTCAAACGTCGACCTATAAAGTATAAAAAAAAACTCTACCTTTTTTAGTTCCTCCCCAAGTTGGTCTCTAGTGAGTTCTGGTGGGACTCTCTGATCTCTATTAGACAGGCACTGTGATATCACCATCAGCGGTACTTGTAGAGACTCTAAATGCAGTTCTGTAGCATGTTTCTCTTCTTTTAACACCCTTATCTCGTCTTTAACGCAATCTCTTGTGAACCTCTGCTTTTCTCTCCAAGCTTGAACTTCGAAGATTCTGTAATTAAACTGAATATTTTACGTGTATCGCAATAATGAAATGAATTCGTCTGCTGTGTGCTTGCATGCACGTGCTCAATGCTGTGGGCTGTGGTCCGTGAGGACACTAAAAAGGCATGAAAATGGTAAAAAGGTAAGTTCGAATCACTTTTAGCTTAACTTAGCCTTCTTAGATTACTCGTCTCACCTATCTCTCAATAGTTCATTGTTACAATAGTTATCCCATCTTGTTGTGACCGAAGTCTCATTCCTTAGTTGATTTGCTCTCTGCCTAAGTTCGTAAGACTCAAATCTACGGAGTCTGGCCTCATTTTGAAGTCTCTGTATATTTCTCGTCCAATCTAAAACGGTCAATTGACGATGAGGCTTCTCGAATACGGGCACAGAAGCGTCCATGTTCTTAAAAATATAAACCCAACTTTAAGATAAACACTTTCCAGCTACCGAGGTTGGAAATTGTCGAACTGTTTGATCAATAATGATGAAGTAACCAGAGAATAGACTATTTTGATACAGTTAACTATTGTAAAAAGAAGGTAAGTAATTGAAATATTTCTGAACATAATAACGCATAATTGGGTCTTTTATAAATAATAATAGGTTACTAAATAATGAGAAATTCTTCCAAGGACGTATAATATAATATGTACGTACTTAAATACATACTAAGATTAGAAATTAAAATATAGTTACAAAATCTCTTAGAATGTAAACGTTCAAGCAATGCATTGCAAGTAAATTCGGGTGCTGCTACTAATTTTACTAATAAAAAAAAATAACGCAACAATTTAAAATTCGTGAACTTATCAGTACCGGAAGTAGCCATCTGTGTAGTATTATTATACAAACCCTAATAATCATCATGATACTTTCTATACATCATTTGTGTTAATTTATTTATATTTTGTTGAGGTATAAACATAATTAAAGTTAGTAATTTTAAATTAATCTTCTAAAATAATGTAAAAGGTGCTTTTGTACAAATCTTTAACGGAAACAGGTTGTCAAAATGTACCAATGACGTTCCATTCAGTAAAATCAAATCAAATATGGCTGACATTAAGTGGCATTAGCATCAGCAATAAAAAGTCTGCCAATATTTTGTTACATACGCTAGTATAGATATAGAGTTATAGACGAAATATTAACTACAACTATCAAACGCGTAAATCTTAACAATTCAAGTGTATTGCTCAGAAGTTCAGTATTTATTAGAGTTTTGTTGTTGTGTGTGGCATCGTTATTCTAAGCAAAAATGTAAGTTGACAAATCTTGTTAGAATCGGATCTCTTTATTTGGATGATTTTGATAACTGTTTTTTGTTTGTATTAGGTACGACGATAGACGTGGCGGTCGTGGCGGAGGTCGTGGAAGTAGCCGTGGAAGCCGCGGTGGAGGTAGAGGTGGTTCTCGAGGAGGACGATCGAGTGACCGGTCCCAGGAGAGAGGAAGCAGTCGTTTCGGTAGCAGCAGCCGTGGCAGGGATAGCGGCCGTGGAGGACGAGATAGCAGTCGAGGCTTTGGAGGACGTGGCGGCCGAGATGATTTCCGCGGAAATTTTAATAAAAACGACCAACCTGGGGGTAACCTCAGGAAAATTCGCTGGGATACAATTACGCTAACTCCATTCCAGAAAAACTTTTATGTGCCTCATCAGAACGTCCAGTCGCGCAGTCAAGCGGAAATAGAATCATATCGTAGCCAAAACCAAATTACTGTGAAAGGACGCGATGTTCCCGCCCCGAGCATGTACTTTGAGGAGGGCGGCTTCCCAGACTATGCTATGAAAGAAATATTGAAACAAGGCTTTCCCCACCCAACCCCTATTCAAGCTCAAGGCTGGCCTATTGCATTGTCTGGAAGAGATTTAGTAGGAATTGCTCAAACAGGTTCTGGGAAAACCTTGGCCTATATATTACCTGCTATTGTACATATCATAAATCAGCCTCGCCTGCTGAGAGACGAGGGGCCCATTGTTTTGGTTTTGGCTCCGACTAGGGAACTGGCTCAACAGATTCAGCAGGTATGTTACTTTCCTATCTTATAATCAATGCTCAACATATTTTGGCCTGCTGTTGGATGGACACAAGATTCTCTGAGGTTCATATAATTTTGTGAGCTTCAGGAAGCAGTATAAATTATATTATTAATTCTAATATTTTAATAACAAAATATAAGATGAGTATTTGTTTTTCATTGTGCTACTCCAGGCGTTGATCTCAATGAATGGAATCGCTGCGGAGATGACGGACAATCCGAGCGAACTGGAAATAGTAAATTTATCCAATTATAATTAGTAGAACTAGCTTATTGCAGGCAGGCTATGTTCGAAAACCTAATGACACATTGGCATGTCCTTTGGTTTTTTTCTGATTGGAAACTCAAATTCTAAATTTTATCCTTACTAGGTGAGGTTTCTGAACGTAACCTTATATATTTTTAGTTTGGGCACTATTGTTTTTGTTCTGTCTCTAGTCCTTGCAGCTATCCGTGGAATGCTTTCTTTACTGTGTAGTTTCAATATTATGCTGAAAGCAGTTAGCTTCATCACCATGCCACTTATTAATATTTAGTAATAGTACAACACAAGATACTATACATGGAAGGCTTGCCACAGGAGTGTTTTGTATGAAATAGAAATAGTGGGTCCTGCTCCTGCACATATTTAATTTTTCATATTTTGTATGTGATGGGGTCAACTGTCTGGTGAACACAAAGCAAATATACTCTGGGACTATTACATAATATCAACTCAACATTAGTTTATTTAACTGATCACCATGTCCAGTAGAATGTTATTTGGCTAATGTTACTTTATTTAGTTTATCTCAATTATTATATATTCTAATGTCATGCTTACATTTTTCATTGAATATTTATGTAAAAGCAGATTTTATAATTATAATTATGTATTCAGTGAAAGATATTGAATAAAGCTTTTGTTATATTATCCACTAAATACAATGGTATCACAACATTCAAAGCTATACATGAAACATCTATTGAATCAAAATCAATACAAACTGACCTCAATTCATAGTAGACTATACACTGTCTTTATTGATATTTAATGAATGCAGTTTCTGTTTTTAGAATCTCATTTAGTAAATTATAATATTATGATACAAAGTATGTATGTGGATGGTTACGCCCACCACCAGGCCTGGGCCGTATCAACCCACAACTACACAAAAATAAATTTATTTTAATGGCCTTTACAATCCAATAAGGCTAAGACTATTATCTTGTTTCAAGTTTTCAATATTATCAATAAGAGATCTGCTCTTGCATATAAAAATAATAATTTACAATTTTTATAGAAATAATAATTTACAATTTTTATTTATCTATTTAACAATAATTAACCACTAATAATATCAATGTGTGGTAAAGTTTAGTTTCCTGTTTGCAGGTGGCCAATGATTTCGGCCAGAGCGTACAAGTCCGCAACACTTGCATATTCGGAGGTGCGCCCAAGGGCCCGCAGGGCCGGTGCCTCGAGCGTGGAGTTGAGATTGTCATCGCGACACCAGGACGACTTATTGATTTCTTGGAGAGAGGTAAAAACAATTTCTTATTGACCTTAGAATGCATCAAAAGTGTAGAGTATAACTTCAAATCATGTAAATTACACCAGAGCAAAACAGCGCATTTCTCAGTATCTACTATCATTAAGTTATGAAAAAAGCGAGGATTTGTTGATTGTCATGAAATAAATAATATATAGATATAAATAGATAATAATTATTTTAATAAATGCAAGTATAAAGTTAGTGTTTCCTAACTTATGTATACATATGTAGGTTTTGTAATTTTTGGTGACTGTAAAAATAATATTGTTAAGGCTTAGTTATATTATCCTAATGTATAATGCACGCGACCACAAAGCCTGTGGTACAGATTTAATTCTATACAGGCATTGTATTGTAACCTACCTAGAATAGTTAAATAATAAGCTTTGATTAAGTACATATATGTGACCAAAATGGAAATAAATATATTTGTTTGTTTGTTTGTTTGTTTGTATGTCTAAATACGAAATTGTATTAAACAGAAACTACAAATCTCCGTCGGTGCACGTATCTGGTGCTCGACGAGGCCGACCGGATGCTGGACATGGGTTTCGAGCCTCAAATTCGTAAGATTATCGAGCAGATTCGACCAGACAGACAGGTGAGTCATATCAACATTTAAAGGCGTACCTGTATTACATTTTTAACAATATTCATAAATATGTTTATGGAATACTCCCTAATAGCATAACATAACATGAATGTGAGTCTGTGATGTTTATTGTTGTGCTGCAGGTTCTGATGTGGTCTGCTACCTGGCCTAAAGAAGTGCAGAACCTAGCTGAGGAGTTCCTGCATGACTACATCCAGATCAACATTGGTTCTCTCAGCCTGTCTGCTAACCACAACATCCTGCAGATTGTGGATGTGTGCGAGGAGTGGGAGAAGAATGATAAACTCGTCACACTGCTCACTGAGATATCCTCTGAAGAAGAGACAAAGACCATTATATTTGCTGAGACCAAAAGACGGGTGAGTCTTGAAATCACTTAGTACCTATGACTTGCAGAGTAGGTTAGTTAGATTTTTATAAACAAGAAAAAACAATTATTACCTTTTCCACCATTTCCAATACATTTTCTACATCTGTCCTTACAATTTGTTCATGCTTATTTGTGTGAAGGTCGATGAGATAACGAAAGCAATCAACCGCGCTGGTTGGCGCGCACTCGCCATTCACGGCGACAAGAACCAGCAGGACAGGGACTATGTGCTCAATCAGTTCCGTATGTCCACCGGAGGCATCCTCGTCGCCACCGACGTGGCAGCGCGCGGCCTCGGTAAGTACTCCCACACCACCCGCTCGCTACATGTACCTGTACGTCTATTAGGGTGTCCACAGCTGTCAACGAATTGTAACTTAAAAATGCGTAGGGCTTATGTCTGAACAAGAAAACAAAATGCAGTTTAGCACTATACGTCAAATATTAGCACTATTCGCTTTCCGAAACAACGCAAAGACTCGAAAGAAATATTCACTGTAAGTTGCCCAGAAGTTACTATCTTATGTTTGTGCCACCGATCAAGTACATTTGTGATAATATAATAGTATGGTGGTGATAATTCCCGCCGAATGATGAAGGGCATCAAACAAAAGATGAAATGACACAGTTGCGAGTACTGAGACTATGTATGAGTAAGACGGTGGTGTCTCGCACTGTACCACCGGGGTGTTGTCAAGGTCTAAGAGATGTCAGGGGCGTAGAGGAGGTATATTGATGCCATTGCTAAGTACATGTTGAAGAACAGTTGTTATGCAATACAACTGAAATAGGTTCCAGTATTCACGTTTTGCACAAGATACGCTCAAGATAAGAAGAACTTGAAACAAGAACTGTAAGGTCCTATAAAGCAAAGGCTTCTTAGTGATTATTGTAGAATATAATTATTTTCTTAGATATTTATATAATCAAATAAAAAAACGCACATGAGGTGGTTAAAAGTGAATATTGGAACAAGGCCACCAAGTATTTGTAAACACAGCAATGGTACAGTGATACTAGTATATTCTCGGGCCACGATACGTATTATATTGTAGTGGTAGATATTTATACCTAGTCGTAAGTAATTACCTGTTGTTTTAGTTTTATTTTTTAGTATAGCTGCTCTAATTTTTTAACCTTTTGTTGATTTCTTTTACTTGTTGACTTCTGATATTGTAAACATCTACCACAAAAGCAAACATCTTAGCCCGATAATAAAATAAATTTCCATGACTGACTTGGCATTATTCTCGATTGTTTTTCATTTCAGAGGCGCATGCGTGCAGTGTTAACGGCTAGACTATCGGTGTGTTGCTGACCTGACCAAACCTAGTTACCGTGTTGTAACGATCTATCGACAGTACTCTGTCAGCGCACACTGTTTCAATATGAGCATGCTGCCTCTAATGTTTATCTGGGAGTTGAGCACGAACAACCTTAATGGTCTTAGGAGTTTGTAATCCCTAAATTTTTGGGGTTTCAATTTTGCTCTATCCAAATATTTCATGAAATTAATTTAAAAATGGGGAATAATTACAGTGTAAGACCGAATTAGAGCAATACATGCTTGGTTATTTGTCATGAGAGATTTAAGCAAAAGCCTTTTGGCCTGCCCTACGCAACTGACAGTCGCGCGGTTAGAGGGCGCTAACTAACATAAGTCAGCACACCGACTCTTGGCCTGCACACTCCGGACTGACGGGCATAATACAGTTATTTCCAGTTTAGCGGTGTCGGACGAGCCAGCCTCATGCACAAGGTAAATATCCACTGAATTTACTGTTGACGTGTGCGTTCTACGTCTACTCTTACCAGCATCAATGGTTTGATATACATCAAATGTTTAGTTTGGTTCAAATTTAAAATATTGAACCAAACTAATCAATATTGGGTTAAATTGTATATCCAACCATTTTATAAAATGAAGCTTTTGGTACACAAACATTGATTAGTTAAATTAATTGTGATTAGCGGTTACATAAACTTGTATGAATGCACATCTCAAGCATGTTTTCTTCTTGTCCAATACATACATTGATTGTGTGAGAGTCAATATTTCGTAAGCTAACCGATCGCTTCAACACAGATGTGGAAGACGTGAAGTTTGTGATAAACTATGATTATCCGAACAACTCTGAGGACTATGTGCATCGTATCGGTCGCACGGGTCGCTCGCACAACACTGGCACTGCTTACACTCTCTTCACTCCTAATAACTCCGCCAAGGTAATTATTACTTCTACTTTCATTATGTTATCAAAAATATGGAATAGTAAACTAAAGCTGATTAAATTGTATGCAGGCTAAGGATCTGATGTGTGTCTTACAAGAAGCTAACCAAGTGGTGAACCCTAAGCTCATGGAGCTGGCGCAGTGTGGCATGGGATTCAAAGGCAAATACGGTAAGTGCAAACTACAATCCGTCTATTGATACAAGGCGTATTTTGTAATATTGTTAAACTTTATTTTATTTTGTTTGTTTCTAGGACGTAACCGTTACCGTGATAGAGATGACAGCCAGGGTCGGTTCGACCGCGGGGGGCGTGGCCGCGGCGGACGGGACGGTGGACGGGGACGCGACGGGGGACGAGGCGGTAGAGGACGCTTCGGAGGGGAGAGGAGTTAGTACTAATTGTGTGTTTATCAAAATAATGACTTTGTGTGTGTGGTCTTAGATAGAACCCTTTTGTTTTGTTATTTATGTACCTAAAAGGTTTGGTTTTAAAGGTGCATGACTGCATGTATATGTCTAATATGATAACATATTTTTGAGTTAGTAGAACAACTCTTTTTTTAGATAAATGGTAACTTTGACTTCCAAATTACAGTCGCAGGAAATCCTGTATCTTAAAAAAAAATGCAGCAGTTGTCACATAACTAACATACTTTTCGTGCAGATTCCAGATGGGACGACTCGAACAACGATTACGACAACAACCAAGGACCATACAATACTCGTTCAAGCTACAACCGAGATAGTAGTAGAGACAACTTTAGACAGGATAATGGATTCCGTGGCAGAGGGCGCGGCCGTGGTGGCAGTGACGCGCAGTCGTTCCAGGCCCAGTCCGGCGGCGGGTACAACAACTTCAGTCAGTCGCAGCAAGCATTCAACGTTCCGCCGCCCACCAGCTACTACAACATGTACGCGCAGCCCCCGCCGCCGCCCGCCTCCAAGTTCCCCGCGAAATAGATATTTTAGTTAGACTAAGATTGACTGGATGTGATGTGAAATGATGTTCATAGGGTTAATTGTGGGTGTTTTATACTTCATTGATTTATACAGTGTGATGCCTGATGGTAATTGAGGGCTGCTCTATAAACACATTGTTGTTGATTCACATTGTATAAATCATTGATATGAACTTGGACACCCTTAGCTTGTAGGTTTGAAATGATAACACCAAAATGGTCCCTCCCAATTGCTAACTTATGAGAAACGAATAGCTTCGTTTCACTCGCGTCTAGTTGTAATATTATTACAATAGATTTATTTTGTTCGAAGTTTCTGTGAAAGTGATGGCTTGAAATGGAACCTATAAGGTTATTAGAGTCTTATCATATTGTATTTAGAGCAGACAACAGATTGTATACGTTTCCCTTTGGAATTATACGGCAGTACATGAGCAAGGCCTTATTTACATGGATTATATTTTTATTTTAAATGCAAATAATTAAGTTATGATTTACTAGAGCTTCAAAATTTTTATATTTATTGTAACTTGTTGTTACATGTTATTCTCGTTATAAATCAGTACAAGAATTTATCCCTTAGTAACTTGTGTGCCACTCTATCATGTGTCTTACGGCCGTTCCCAATATTCTATCTATCCCTTGTTTTGCCCTACTGGAGATAGAAAAATCTATCTATCTTTAAATTTGCCGTCTCAATAAACTTACTGGCGATAGGCAAACTAATCTATGGTTGTCATTACCTGTGGGAGGACGGATAGGTTATCTACAGATTGCTTTTACTATGAAATTGACAGTTCATGCGTCCCAATAATAACAAAGGTGCTATCTGTCAGTGACTTTGGTTATCCCTAGTAGGCTTTAGCTCTATCGCAGGATTTTGAGGGATAGGAGTATAGTTATCAGTGAAGATCAGTATATATATCTTTTCTATTTCTTAAAAATACATCAGATTTAAACAAAAAATCATTTCGGACTCCAGTTCAAGTAGTAGTTCAAGTGCTATTGATATTTTGAAACAAATAAGGAACTGGGAATCTGACGAGGACGATGTGGTTACCACAACACGACCATATCAAGAGCGTGTTAATTACATGTACAGATATGACGATTACGAGTTTGTGTATAGATTTAGGCTAAGAAGACTAAATTAGAGAATTTTATACTTGTCCGTTATTCATACCTACATCTTTATTTTAATTAAGTGTTCCAGTGGACGAGAAATGAGATAAACATTGAATGTGCAAAATGCATAGTGTAATAAAAAGATGGTTTAGAATAAACTGTTTTATTTTATTTAATTATATGAATTATTATTGGGTTGTTTCTCCTTCTCCAGTATATCTAGCTAGAGTTTCCGTTTCTTTAATGCATGTATTTCTTTTCGATCTGTTATTGACTCATATCATCTGCATCAGCTCGTCTTTTCTGTTTTCCTAGAAAAATATTATTTATAATTATAATATTATTTATAGTGTATTATTCCATTTTGCTCCTCACCATATAAAAGTTTTATAACTAAACAGTATTGAAAAGTAAATAGTCATAACCAATACCAAACCCCAAAAATGAAATATACAAGAAACTATCTGTGATACCTAATCCTCCAAGTCGCATCCTTGAGCTGGTTATTGCTGGCATTTGTGACTTTGCTGAACATCAATGGATTTGCCTCCACCAATTGTACCAGCTGCATTACTTCTTCTTTCGTCAATAGCATATTCTTTTGCTACAATGAGTGCACCAAACACGAGTTATTAGTCACATGTATGTTCATGCAAACAACAAAAAATATTCAACAATCCAAGTATAAAAGTTCAGTGAAAGCCATAGAACTAAACTTCAATAGCTTCAATCTAAAGCTAGAAAAGCACAAACTGTAATACTTACTGAGCTCATTTATTATAACAAACAATTCTTTGTTATATTATCATAATTTATTGTAAACAAAATCAACAAACAACAATGTCAAATGTCAATGTTTTAACAAACACGTTCCGTTACAAGTCGCGCACTCATCCAGTCGCAAACATGAAGTTTTCGTTATATTTAACTTAAAAAAATATTGTTTACTATAAAATTTGTGCAAAATATAAGGTTTCGTTAATTAATTCAAAATGTTTGTGATATAAACATGACAAGATGCTTTGAAAACATTATTGTAACTTAGTGGCACTCTGTGGGGCTCTGCATACAATGAAACACATGGGAGGGCTCAGATAGGCACCCTATCTACTGATATCTAGAGATAGCAAAGACACATTTTAGTTATTGGGACGACATCGAAAGATAGATAGCTTTTAACTGACTATCGAGGATAGCTATCTATCTTTACCTATGGATTGAATATTGGGAACGGCCGTTAATGTATAGCATTGTAGTTCAAAATAAAACTTATACCATAGCAATAAATAGTTAAAACTTGAGCTAACTAATACATTTTCCAAATATGTAACATTCCTGTCTTGATTCTACTCCACTACAACATTGTACCGAGGATTTTATTTACTATTTGCAGAGAATAAATGTTCAAAATCAAACAAATGCTGTTGTTTTATTGTATGTTGTTCTGAAGCGACACTTTCGACACATTTTATATAGAAACTTTTATAACATATGGAGTGATTTTTAATTAGACCATAATCTCGTATGGGGTTGTAGAACAGACATTTCTATCAAACGAAGGGATAGGCGGAAATGATTGACAATTATTTGACAAAAATTAATGAAAATATGCGAAATCATTGATAACCATTCGGATAGAAGTGGATGGATAGTAAGTTGAACTTCGAACTTGGCATTGGTCCATATATGAAAGTGGTGTACCTTATAAGAAATTAAGCTTAGGATATTTAGATGTTTTTTTATAGAAAGTGCATAACAAGTGTCATAGTAAATTTTTTGTGTTAGGGAAGCTTTCTGAGTCAAACTTGAAGAAATATTCTATGAATTTGTCGTCAGTTCAAGGATCACTGTAGGTATCTAAAATAATATTATTGTGTATTTGATGATTAGAACTATTAAATAAACTAATAAAGTAGAATAGCTGAACAAAGAAAATTAGGACAAGCATGTATCTTTTTTGTTTATCCAGGAGTAATCATAGGTGTCGTTTTGAATTTAACATAAAGTTGAATATTTTAAATAACTTCATTTCTGCCTATCCCTTACGTTTGACAAAAATGTTGGAAATGATCTGTTCTATAACTCCCTATGAGATTATGGTCCAATTACAAATCACCCTGTATAACTTATATATAATTAGAAATAATTGATAACAAGAAACAGGTATTGAGAATAAAACAAGAAAGTATCAATAAAGATTTCGTTTATTCCTACATAAATAGAACATGATTGCAACTTGCTAAGAACCCCTTAACAGAACTTCACAAAACTGTCAGCTATCACTTTACACTGATATATGATGAACAATTTATCTGCAAAGCTGTGTAAAGGCAATTGATCTCATTGGTTTAGTGACCGGAATGTGCTGGCTTGTCAGGGTCAACATAGTCGAGTTGCTCATCAGGAGTGTGTGGCCAGAAGGTAGGCTTGTTGATGGGGTCGAGTGCCTCTTCTGGGTAAGCATCACGGAAGTCTTCCATGGTCATCTGTTCATATGGCAGGAGGGCCTTGATCTCGCTGACTTGTTTCTGGTAGCTGAAATTAAATTAAGGTTAAGTAAGAGAGTGTCATTCTAACATTCATTTTCAAATTTATTGCAAAAACCCAGATAAGGATCCAATAAGTAAATGTAATAAACTAGATGTCATTTTAAATCAATATTATTTCAGAGACATCTTACTTGAAACTGACTAAGGGACCAACACATTTCTAATTAGATATTGATTTACTTTTAGGAGTGGTTTTGGGGCCTAATAAATAGATTTATCTTTAAAAATAACCAGTTGTAATAGAGTGGAGTATAAAATTAAGTAAACAATGTGCTGAAAGAGCAAGCTTAACTCAGGGAATATAACTAAAATAATGTTCATTGACTATAGGCTATACCTTCATAATTTATTTATCTTAGAATGATAATTATCTATAGAAAAAATTAATTCAGCAATTATTTATAACTTACTTGGCAATGTTAGCGTTAGATTCCTGGATGAAGGCTTCGATACCTTTCTTGACTTCAGCCCATTGAGCGTCAACCTGAGCCGTCTGTGTGTCGGCGGGGTAAGGGACCTTCAACGCTTCGTACTGCTTCTGGAAGGTGTCCACCATACCGGGGATGGGCACAGCATTCTTGTAAGCCGCCCAGTTGATCTTTGGAGGTTCAGGGGGGTTGGCCAAAACTCTAAAACACAAAACTAAATAACCAAAACGCAGTGACAAAAATTATGTAATCCATCGATCAAAACTAACCTTCGGAGGTAAGTGTCCGACTTAATTTTGAAAGCTGCAAGATGAGCTTTCTGTTCGGCCGGGACCCTCTCAGCAAGGGCTGCCCAGTTTACAGCGCTTTGTGAAATCCTTTTCGCCATTTTTCGGCGATTTTTATTTCTATATAAATTCACAGACTGTCAGGAAGTGGTCAACGATGATAGACAATCTGACAATCAATTTTGTTTTAAATCTCATATTTGGCTTCGTGGCATTTTGCTGAATTATTAATATTGTCTATGGTTTAAAAAATAAAATTGTCTTTTCGAAATTCCTGTTAATGTGGAGTTGATTCAGTACAAGATAATAATTATATTACATTTGTGTAGTAATTATCGTGCGACATATAAATAAGCTAAAAATATCGGTTTACTCACGTAAATGACGAAGAACTCCTTTATGACTTGAAATTAATGTAGTAGAGCTTTTCTTAACCCTCTGCAACTGACGTGGTTAAATTGTTACAATTCAACTGAGGTGTATATTATACCAGACACCATTTCAACAGCAAATATTTTTGTAGAATTAAAGTATAGCGAGCACTATACAGTAAGGTACTCGCAGCAGTGATGCACGTATTTGAAAAATGACGGTATAACACGTGATTTTGTATTTCGCGGTGTCTGTGGGACTACACATCAGCTGCAGACGGTTAATACTTATTATATTTACGTCAGTAAACCTATATTTTTGGTTAATTTGATTATAATAGTAAGTAAGTAGTGAACCTAGCTAACTTTCAGGCCTACGCCTTCTTATGTCTGTATATGCTATTTGTATGTATGAAGTTTTAAACAAAAGTTATTCTTTAAATCCGTAACAAATACCTTATATTAGGTGCTGTGTACAATTTTATGACAGATTATAACCAAAACCAATATCCTAAGTTACATTTTGATAAGGGCTTGTGGCACCGACTTCTAACCTATCAGTGGGTGGGTAACCTGTAAGTAGGTAAGTACGAATGACTAAAAACAAAATAAAATCAAACGTCGACGTATAAAGTATATAATGGGGTAGACGACTAATTTTTATTTTAATGTCCGTCTGGTAGATTATTTAAAAACATTAGACACGTATTTTTTATTTTCTTACGGAAACGAATAGTTTCGAAGATATATTGATTTGAAATGTCGCGTGACGTCACTTCTCAGTACATTTTATACTAAGAAATGACGTTTTAGCCCCCACTCCTAAACTTTGATTCGTTTTATCTAAGTATTGTTTTATTATACAACAAAATAAAAAAATACGTGTCTAATATTTTTTTATTACCCAAGTTACGGACTAATTATATTTTTAATTTTCATACCCTGTCATCATCCCCATTATATAAAAAAATGGTTATTTTTTGCTTTATAGTTTTGACCGTTTGCTTGTTTTTAGGTTTTGGTTTTCGAAGTCGGTTTTTTTAAACACAGTTTTTGTTTTTATTTTTATGTTTTTTAGTTTAGTTAGGGCTTTATAGACCCAGTGTCTTTATATCTCACGTAGGTGTAAAGCTATGAGAGCTTTACAAATTATTCAAGCTCAAACACAAGGTAAACGGTTAATAGTAGCTATTAATCGTTTATAAGCACCCTTAGCTATCGTTCTACTTCATCATTAGGCCCCTAATGACAAGCACACCCCATTTAGGTGTAAAGTTCTCATCAAAACAAATTTATAAAGCCCAAACACCAAGTAGCTACTGTCAGCCGTTGAGGAGTTCCCTTAGCTATCATAAGTACCTACTCCTTCATCATCAGGCCCCTAATGACAAGCACACCCCATTTAGGTGTAAAGTTCTCATCAAAACAAATTTATAAAGCCCAAACACCAAGTAGCTACTGTCAGCTGTTGAGGAGTTCCCTTAGCTATCATACTCCATCATCAGGCCCCTAATGATAATCATACCATATTAGATGTAAAGTTCCCATTACTTGAAATTAATCAAGCCCAAACAACAGGTAGCTACTGTTAAACGTTGAGGAGTTCCCTTTGCTATCATACTACTTCATCACCAGTCCCTAATGACAATTACATCCAATCTAAATGTAAAGATCTTCTCAATACAAATAATTTAAGCCCAAACACGGGGTCATTGCTACAAATTCTCGAGTAGTTCCCCCGGCTATCTCTTGACTCCATTATCAGATCAACTCCATACCTTCAACAAATTGTAGTAGTTTCAAATAGTATGCCAAGAAATTAATAGACGCTCTCGCCACTTATACAATTTTGAAAAGTTCCTTTCGGTTTCCATGGGATCCCATCATCAGATCTGACCTGGTGGAAATGAGACCACACCGAGAGTACGACCTTTCCAACAAAAAAAGAATCTTCGAAATCCGTCCACAAACACCGGAGTAATCGCGTAACATAAGTACACAAAAAAAAAACAGCCGAATTGATAACCTCCTCCTTTTTGGGAAGTCTAAAACTAAACTGAGATAGCAAACAGACTCCTTTCGTTTTACGAAAACGTTGTTGTTGTTTAATAGACGGCCACGGCTTTGCCAATGTCCGTCGATTTCGTTTGCCCCATTGCGAGATCCTACTGAGATGGTCTTTAGCCAAATTCTTCAGTCCGGCGCGGGTATGTGACTGTACTCATTTTTTATTTTTACATACATATTAAGATTTGTTGACGTTTCAAAAGTACCAAACAATGGTTGAATTGAAATGAATTCTTTTGATTTTGCTTTCCAGGATAATTATCAACATGTTATAAATTGTGAGTTGTAGGTCTGTTCACAATCGAATTTTTTTCATGACTTTCGACGTTATCGATTTCATTTATAAAGGTCCTTGACTTCAGAACCAATAGGATTATTTTCAGGGGGTAAGACTTTTTTTTAAGGGGGAAAATCATTGTATGACTGCTCCCGCCTGGGTGACACGGGAGGGAGTGTCAAACTATTACTGACTAAAAACCACCCGTTCCTTCTCCTGTGCTTCGAGCAGGAGCCCCGGTAACCTGTTAGGTTCAACGCCACTCCGAATCGGCATCAGCCCTGCTGGGTCCCATCCGTGGTGATCCGATGGCTCTTTGAGGCGCGCGCGGAACGCGACGCGCTGTACGCTCGGGTCTGGTTCTGGTCGGACGGTGAGCCACCCATGCTCGCCGTCCGCAGGCCCGCGCTTACGGTGGCCGGAGATCGTCTCGCGATCCCCAACGCCCGGTGTGTCCTTCGCGATGGCTGGGTTGCGAGGAGGCAGCGCTTCGCTGTTTCACGCGTCCTGCCTCCTCCTTAGCTAGCATGACTGGTTTGCAAAAGGAAGAGATGGGATCCTAGCCCCCGTCGCTCCGTATCATGACCCGCACTAGGGCCGGACGCGAGAGGTTGCCATCGCCGATCACGTCCCTGAGGGCACGGCGGTGCTCAGCCCACGCAGGGCAATCCCTCACTGTGTGTTCCACCGTGTCCTCAGGGAGTGGGTAAAACTTGCTGTCTCATTTGGGAATTAAAAATTAAGTCTATGTACTTACCTACTTACCTCATGGTTTCGATTTATCTATTCAAGGGGTTTTTGTGACCCTGTCCATCAAATAGAACATATATCATTACACCTAAAGGGGTTTGAGAGTTTGGTTATTTTTTGGCTAGGACCTGTAGTTTTTGAGACATTTCGATTTATCTTTGTTTTATTTCTTACTTTTTATGGATTTTTTTTTATGGAATAGGAGGCAAACGAGCTGACCGATCACCTGATGGTAAGCGATCACCGCCGCCCATGGACACCCGCAACACCAGAGAAGTCACAGGTGCGTTGCCGGATAGATTAGATTAGATGTGGATAAAATTAATTCTCATCGCATTTGTTGTGTTGCGTTATATGCGGGATCCAATCAGGGTAGCGGGAAGGTAAAAACAAAACATTTTATATAAATACATTTATTTATTTTACCTTTGGTTCACTTATTATAACAAATCTATGCTAATTACAATACAATAAATTATTTTAAGCGAAAACTTTAAATTTTTTCGTTAATTTAGATAATAATATTATCTTCGAAATCATTCTGGTTTAATAAATAGTAACTTTGCAACTCGAAAATGTTTATTAAGACATAACAACGTCAATATAAATGTAACTCCAACGTTAACTATGTTTGAGGGGCTATTTATCCTAATTGACTTTTACGTATCAGTCTTCAAAAGAACTATTATAATTATAATATTTTGCTACTACAAAACATGACAATTATTTGGCAGGATCGCCGCTACACACGCCACGCTGCATTAACATTTCGTAATAAGTAAAGTTGATATTGATACTGCTACTGTTGCTTGACAAATCAAAACAATTTTAGTTAAATTACAAGTGTAGACCTCTAATACAAACATTCATAAAAAGACCTATAATAACACAACTTCTTTTATGTTGATTCAATAAGCTTAATCATGTGCTCAGTACATACTTTTATCCTTCATCTGTTTAAAATAATGAATGATCGCATCAAATAATTGTCAAGTCAACTTGAGGCGGATGCAGACAAACCAAATTACAATCAATCATTTAGCGCCTGGACCCAATCTTACAGAACTGAACGTACAAAATTAAACATAAATTATTACCTAAAGGAATGCATTCTTATTATTAAATAATATTATTTATATCTACTCTCTTATCGTACAAAACATTATATTAATAAAATAAAGGTAATATTTTACTTTGGTTAAGTTAAATGGTAAGCATCATTACAAGCTAGTAAAAGTAGTCGCCATTGGTTTTATAGTATATACAATTCTTTATAATTAATATTTACAAAAATATAATATAGGTGTCAACTGTGTACGCATCGTATTGTCTTATAACACGTGGTCTTGTGTATTTCCCAATTATTTTGTAATATAAGAATTTTGTACAAAGACCCGGTTCTTAGAACAGCTTTATTTTTATTGCAATCGACCTATATGTAGGTGCACTGTTAATGAGATTCATAAAAATGTAAATGCGGAATCGGGTTCACTTTACTTAGCGGACAATTAATGCAAATCAATGTCGCTGCCCCCATAATAAGACATTGGATACAAAGTTCCCATTCTTAATAAAAAAACTGATAGAACTTAAACGAAATAATTATTCTGAACGAACATCGATTCACAACGATTTTTCGATTTTTACTGGGCAACATTGACATGTTGATTTAAAATGTAGAACACAGTTTCCGCCAGTGGCCGGCAGATGTCACTGGTTGATTCATAAGTTGGCGGGTTTATCTTTCATGTGGTTTCGTTTGTCTGCGTAATGTGGTGAGTTGGATGAGTTGGCCATGGTCCTGCTGCCCCACGTCGTCCGCCTGTTGACGGTGCTGTTTTTGCAAAATTTTAGTAGATTGGCGTAAGCTGCGCGGTACTGTCTGTTGGTGGCTGCGTAGATGAGTGGGTTGATGACGCTGGACGCCCAGGCGAGAATCGAGGCGATGATATGCAGCCAGGGGTACGTGATGCCGTCGTCCGCCACATTCATGATCATTAGTGGCAGGAAGCACGCCAGGAAGCACAGAAAGATGGTCAGCATCAGCGTCGTCAGCCGGGAGTCCTCTTCTTTCTCTTTGGCTGTTTGTCCGGAGAGTTTACTGTAGAAAATAAAATATTCTTATTAATTCGCACAAAGTAGTCAAAGTTGCATGTTTATAACAAAGTGTACAAATGATAATCATAGCTTATGTAAAAACACATATACCGTCACCGCCAGTTGCACCCTACAATATTTATTATTGAATACCAAATTATGGTTTTGGTGACTGCTTCATCTTACCATTAGGTGAGACAGAGACAAAACATCAGCCTTACAGTTTATAAAAAAATATGGTACTTTCCTGGCTTATGCCTTACATCTTTATGCTGACTAGAAAGGAATCATGTCTAAGAGAGCTTGAAATTCGATCAATAAATAAGTGTAGAGCGCAACAAAACTAAAACTATGTCCCAGAACCCATCACCTGATTAGTCACACCTAGTGACGTGTAGATTCTCACCCACATACACACCTGCGTCCCTCCAGCTTGCGCTTGCTCTGCCGCACCCGCCAGTAGATGCAGGAGTACGACACGATGATCACCACGCAAGGGAGCGCGAAGCCGAACACGAAGAGATACTTCTTCGGAGACTTGCCGTCTTTGGGGAGGATCGTGCACGAGAATGTGCTGGGGTCCAGCCCTAGTTGACCCCAAACGCCGAGGAGAGGTGGTACCTGCGGATACATTGAAGTTGGTTTTAGATACGCCTTACAGATTTTATGACAAAACAAATATTTGCATTTTTAACTTTGATTTGAGTGAGCAAAATAAGTTCTGTTAGGGATGATACGCCGCGACCGACGCCTGTAGATACTGTGAGCTCATTATCGACATAAAATCGTATCAGACCCATAGGCTCCAAAATTACCCAAACAAAATAATAAACAAGTTGAACATTTTATTGTATGCGGGTTCTTATAACGTGTTGAATAATTCAGAAGGGTGTTAATTTATAGTCAAGTAACACTAATGCATTCATTGAATAGTGTCCCGAACTATTTGTGATTGGACTAAAGTGCCGGTTCACGAGTTGTTTCCAAATTACTAGCTTCATTTAAACGATGCATGTAATCATTTTCAATTTTAAATGGTTTAATTTGAGATGAATGATATGACTTTGGAAATTTTGTTTTTATTGCTATGTTAATTGCTATTGTGTACAGAGGAAATGCGTTTCTAGGGCGCAATAGACAGATGCCTACTTATAGGTACATTGTGTATTATGGAATTATTTCTGAGCAAAGGTGTCGGTTTAAAAGGACGACGATTTGTTCTAGCAAAATATGAATATCTTCCTAGTTCAGCGTTTTATTGGTGGTGCAAGTTATAAGAGAACAGCCATATGCGATATCATTCGTATACCAGTATACCACTCTTTTTATCCTTCCACTTAACTATACTATTCGTAATTTTTGGATCACATTCCAGTAGTTACATGTTACATCACACGAACTATTAATTAGCACTAGCAGTAGCAGAGGATAAACTAATTCAGGACAATCAACGATGTGGAAGTGCAACGAACTAATCTAGCTTTCTACCATTGCTTATTTATTTGGCTGGCAACATTACACTAAACAGTTGTAGTACGAGAAGATACCTTATTCTTTGGGCAGTAAATAAAGACGTCTGTTATTTTGCTATATATCCCTGCATCTGTACCTCAATGGTAGCGCTGTGTGTGTTCCACGAAACGGATAAATTATTATCTTTTTAGATTCCGGTAATAATTTCATTTTGTTATTGTAATATCTATCTATATATATAAAATTCAAAGGTGATTGACTGACTGACTGACTGATTGACTGACTGACATAGTGATCTATCAACGCACAGCCCAAACCGCTGGACAGATTGGGCTAAAATTTGGCATACAGATAGATGTTATGACGTAGGCATTCGCTAAGAAAGGATTTTGATAATTTCCACCCCCAAGGGGGTAAAAAAGGGGATGAAAGTTTGTATGAGACTTTGTCAGTTTTAAACCGATCGGGTTGTAATTTGGCATGCAGATAGATGTTACGACGTAGGCGTCCGCTGTGAAAGGATTTTGATAATTTCCACCCCCAAGTGGGTAAAATAGGGGATGAAAGTTTATATGAGCCTTTGTCAGTTTTAAACCGATCAGGTTGAAATTTGGCATGCAGATAGATGTTATGACGTAAGCATCCGCTTTGAAAGGATTTTGATAATTTCCACCAAGGGGGTAAAATAGGGGATGAACGTTTGTGTGAGGCTTTGTCAGTTTTACACCGATCGGGTTGAAATTCGGCGTGCAGATGGATATTATGACGTAAACGTCCCTTTAGAAAGGTTTTTGAACATTCTCACCCCAAAGTATGATACTTTGCCAGTTTTAAATTGATCGGGCTGAGACTTTGCATGCATAAAGTTACTATGACATAGGTATCTCTTTAGAAAGGATTTTGATAAATTCCACCCCTAAGGGGATAAAATAGGGAATGAGAGTTTGTATAAATCTTCTTAGCCGTTGAATTTAGAATCATTGAATCTTTTTGAATTACATTCGGTAAAACGATGATTTGGGACCTGGGTAACGTATGATAGTTTTTTCACAGATGTCTCACGAGAACGGGAACTATGCGTCAATGCCCCAGGACTCTCTAACTCTTAACCACTGAACTTATTCTAGAGAGATTCGGTACAACAATAGTCGATAGAATAGTTTTTATTACTCAAACCTTACGTGATCGGGCACTGTACTGGTAAGATCCCTGCGGGATTATTTATTTATTGAAACTACGATAAATCATTTCAAAATAGGTAAATCTTACTTGGGCACTGAATTGATTCTGGTTAATTCTGTCAGAAGTCATTAATCTACGCGGACGAAGTCGCGGGCAACAGCTATCTACACATACAATAAATCGTAGAAAAGTCAAAACTGTACATTGAATATTTTTTAAAAGAATATTTGAAGCGTGATCTCTAATCGATACCGAAGCCAATAATGTGGTTTTTAGAATTTTTGTCTGTTTGTCTGTATGTATGGCCGTGATGATCTCAAAAAGTACTGCACTACTATTTCAAATTTTGCATGAATATTACTAACAAGTCTGGTAAACATATAGGCTACATATTATCACGCTATCATCTACGGGACTGAATCAATTCTGACGACATTCATTACCGTAGAATATCCCTTGATAAAAACTAATTCAAAAGCCTAAATTCTGCCAGAAGTCATTATTCTACGCGGACGAAGTCGCGGGCAACAGCTAGTAATGTAATAAAATGTATGTAGTTTTTGTTCCGGGTCCCTTACTTTTTTATTACTTTGAACTTTAACAGATGCTACGTAAGTAGCACGGAATATAGAAGTAGTTTGGTTTATATATTTTGTTAGTTTCACGCGTTACATTTGTGGTTTCAATCATAGCCTGGTTGTGTACATTATCAATGTTTGCGTGCCTATTTACATTAGTTAGTGTTGCCAAATATGAGATATAACGGTAATGCTATGACATAGAATCGCTTGTAAAGTAAACCCCTTCAAAAATTGCCCATATTAAAAATATATGAGTGGTCTGGGTGAACTCTACAACACGTTACACCTTTTTTCATTGTATTATAGTAATATTTTATAATTGAATCGTAAAGTCCAAGTAATACTATGTACATTTCCTCTTTGCTTTAGTAAAATGTTCCAATATAACAAAACTCCAGCGAAAAGTTGATGAAAGCTCGCGTCGACTGATAGACTGATTTCTGTTTTGATTCCAATGTGATGCAATTGTTTTTGTTATAAAAATACCCAGAAATTCTGTTTAAACGCCCGCTAATGATTGATAGGAACCATTTGTTACAATATTCTTGTATATTTATTCGTTTGAGAGCGTAATGAGAGTAAAATTGCTTGTAATTTTAAGATTTAATCTCATTACATGCACTCGACGATGTAATGCTTATTGAACTTTGAACATAAACTGCGAACACATTTTGTACTTATTTTCTTTTTTATTGGAAGCCAATTGGTCTGAGTGAAGAGCAGTTCTTGCATTTGAAAACACAGCTAGGTACTACCGACTTAGTCACAAAATTTTAGAATGTGTGATGCGTTGAAAATCTGTTGAATAAACATAACATCACGCCTTTTATTCCCGACAGGGTAGGCAGAAGTGCATATTACGGCACTTAATGCCAGTATACAATGTAACACCCACTTTTCACTATTTATGTTATGAGTCCCATGTAATAGGGGGTGAGCCTATTGCCAAATAGGTACCGGGCACATTTCCAGACTCCATGCTACTACTGATATTATTTTTAAAACCTAGTAATACTTTGCTCAACCCAGGAATCGAACCCGAGACCCCTTGCCCGGCAGTCGCACTTACAACCACTGGGCCAACGACGCAGTCCATTTGAATAAACTTCATTTTGAATAAACTGATAAGATATATTGTTGTAGACCTCTAAGATGTAAGATACTAACAACGTAAAGGAAATTTGGATCCCTATTAATCTTAAGAGAGTTATAGACAGTTAAAACTCACCATCAATCCGAAAGACACGAGCCATATGAGCAGCAGCTGTACCCAGATCTTAGTAGTCGTGTATATTTGCGAGTACATGTCGTAGTACGCGATCAAAGTGTATCTGAAACAGAACAGGCATCACTTTAGACTTTATTGTAACACAATACAGCTGAAAATGTAATGAAGAAAGATTGGAGTAGTTTGATCTGCTATCTGAACCATTCAAATGTAACACAGTTTACACAGTACACCGGCAAACTAATCTAGGTTATATTTACGAACACGGTTCAACTATTTTTAGACATAAAAAGGTAAACAAAGTACAAGAGGAAGTAAAAGTAACCTTTCCACACGTGGATTTTAACAAAACATTTGGAACGTTCCGGTTTTAGTGGATTTTGCGAGTAAATATACAAAGAAGTAAATTACGGCAACAAAGGGAAGGTTAATGAATTACTTGTGTTACTGTAATGTGGAAGCTGTGGGTAACATGATAATAAGTCACTGCTGATCATTTATCTTTTCGCAATTCTTTTGCTGAGCCATATCACCGAGCCGTCTTTAGGCTGATGAGCAGCAATATTTGCCAATGTCAAGGTGTCAACAAACGAAGTCAGTAAGAGGACATCAACGAAAATTCCATGTAAAAAAAATAGTCGAAGCTCAAGACTGTCCTAAACTAAAATTACTCTGAGAAATTAGTGTCTTCTAGTATGTACATAATCCTAAATTGAGACAGAAAATTAACTTTACAAGCAGTGAATATTAATAACATTAATACAAGTCACAAGTCTTTTAGTTTTACGAGACACCAGCAGACCCACGACGACGCGATGAAACAAAGTGTCTCCACTTAAGTTGATAACATTTACTTTTCGCTTTCATAATGTAATCACCACTTCACAGCACTCTGGTTATCTGTCGTGGGAAAGCAGTTTGTTTACCAGCACGCCTCGGATTAGATAACAATTTGTGGCTTAACTTGTTATTATACTGTTTATGGTACCACGGATTGATAAATCATTAAACGGTGAAGCCGGTGAAGGACGGCGCGGAAGCTACAGCAGCGGCCCGTTTGAACTCCTTTGATTCCTCGCCCTTGAGACTTCATTTAGATTACGATTGCCTTTCAATGTTAAAAATCATTATTACAGACTGTATCTCTATTAACATTCGAGACTACATTAAGTTTACTTTCATGTGATCTTTTTGAACTTTTGACATGTGAGGCCGTTGTAAATGTAGTTCCGCTGTAACATGTTCGTCAATTCAATTAACTAGTAGAATAGTGATGAAAGTAGGAAACTACTCTTACATTTTGTAACAGGATAATTAGTGATACAGAGCGATCAATTTACACAATTACTTGAACCAGTGGATACACATGAAAAGGTTGCTTACAAAGCCTTTACTGAAATCTAATAAACAAAAATGAAGTGGGCCAGGCACAACCGCTCATTGTGCACAGTGGGCCCTTTGTGAGCCGGGTACTGACCCATCGTGAATGGGTTTATTTTTGTTTGGCTCGGGCCCTCTGCCCAGCGTGCAGGACAGATGCACACATGTAACAGCCGATGGATTGAATCTGTGACGCCAGATGCAAGTGATCCGTGTCGTTTCGAGATGTTTTTTTTTTTTTTTTTTTTTTTTTTTTATTTTTTTTTTTTTTTTTTTTTAAACGTTGCCCCACACTAGGATTATCTCCTGTGTCGTGGGTGCGTTTACAAACATACAAGTTCACATACACACGATACCCAGACCCGAAACAACAATTTGTGGATCACACAGTGTTGTTTCGTGCGGGAATCGAACCCGCGACACGTTGCACGGCAGCCGGTTGCCCAGCCACCGCACCAACCGTGCAGTCAAACAAATATTGATGTTTTGAATTGTTTTGTTTTAATAGGATAATTTAGATACAAGGGTTCAGGATCAGGTTCAGATAGCAATGTAAGATTTGATACAGATGATAACTGTACATAATATATTTTTAAACAGTTCTGATTAAAATGTGTAAACTTCGCGAAAATGTGCTTAAGATTTTATTCCATTGAATCACCTATTTATTTAATTAGAGAAGGAGAAACACTAGATTTGACCAAATTGCCTAAATGCTACATTAATTATTATGCTTGTTATTGACAATTTAAACACAAATCTGTATAAATTATTATGTCGAGTCTACTACTAGTCGAGTTCCTCGTCAAATTATTACGTGAGTAAGCCGAAAACAATAATTTATTTAGTATGTCTCACGAAAGTTGCAATACAAATCTGGATTTAGCAATCGATATTACCATTATCAAATTCCACCAAACATTTTGCAAAAGCTTGACAGAAATCGCTATCGCCTGTTACTTACACCGTACACGGCGGCCTGAGCTTGAGACTTTTCATCTCTTACATGTGGTCAGTCAGATAATAAATGGAACTTTAAAATTGTGCGTGCGAGTGTTATGAATCAAATGTAGGTCGTATGACGCACGTGGATACGTCAGGGAGGTATCAGTACCCGCCTACACGTAGGTACCTTGCCTAGTATCGAGAATAGACAGGTAGGTACTGACGGAGTAATAAATATTTCCTTGCAAATATTTTTCCTTTCAGGTAAATAATAAAATGTGATAATCAATGCTCATTTCCCGTATATGGGAGCATAATATACACTGTCCGTAGACGTAGACGGGTCTTTCTTTAGCCAGCAATCGATCAGGTACTAACTAATAAATTGGAAATAAAAAAAACAATGTACTTCATGAATTGTAAGTCAATCATTGAGGAGAAACAAACATGTAAAGTAAGTCTGAATAGTCTGGATTACGTTACTTTGAAAGCGGAAAGAGTTGTCCAACTGCTTACAACATTGTTTCCGGTGCGAGAGTGAGATGATCGTAATTAAAGGCGGATGGAGGAATTACTACTTAACTATCGTTTCCTTGCGGAGTCGTTGAATCGATTGAGACAAGATTAACACACAGTAGCAGCGCGTCGTGTGTCACGGAATGCTGCTCATGAAGCCTCTCGCAATGCATGAAACATTGTCTAGTTCCTCCTCAAACAGTTAAGAGAGTAAGCCGAAAACATAATAATTAAGTTTGTCCTTCAACAAATCTTTATCCTTCGGAATAGGTATATCTGAAAAGCTTTTAAAACACTCGATCTGTCTGATACTATTATTACTATCAGGTATGAGAACCTATTTGCCCGACGTTATTGGGTATGAGAATTTCAATTTTCAACCAAATAGGTACCATAGTTTCCCTTGTCAGACGCGACGCCTGAAAACCTGAGACATTAGCAATCGCACCCACAAACACTCGATACTAATGCCTGTGCTAAAGTTACGTAACGGATTCCAAAAAGCCACACCCCCACACTTGGTTTATTTAGTTATTAGTTATTGGTTTTATAAATAACTTCACCTGCGTTGTTTAAAAGCAGGTAAAGTGGTAATTTTCTATGATTTACTGCATCAGCAACTACCTAGCTCTCAACTATTCTAACCAATCTATTACGATGTTAGTGTTTCTCCAAAGCACAGGATATTGAGATAATCATAAGCACTATTTTGTGCCAGAACACTGGTTTGAGAGTACATTCATTTTAGAATAATGGATTTATTAACGGTTTAATGGTGGAATGGTGGATGATAAAAAAATGTTTAATAGTGGAAATATAACTTTATCTGATCTCTATAAATAGTATGTATGAAATAATAGCAGAATCCCAATAATCCAAATATACATAATTGCTTTTTCAATTTCCTAATGCGTTCTTATTGAGAAAACTTAATAACTTGAGTGGTTCCTGCGGTTTTTGTATAGCACAAAGTAACTTCAGTAAACCTTATAACAATGAAGTTAAAAAAGTAAGTAAGTACTTTGCTAAAAATATGCAGAATTTAATTTTAAAGACTCATTAATTAAGTAACTGTAATTACAAATAAGATTGTTTATTATTATAAATTAAACATTTACTTGTAATTACGTCTGCGCGCGTATAAACAGATGTTCCTTCAAAATTGTGTTTGCAAACACACGTATGTTATACATTTTTAAAAACTTACCTAAGCAGCTGTTTTTACACATTCACCTATACGATACAGGGATTTTCTGGGAGTAGGGGAAAAAGCCTAGGTTTTGTATTTATGTAAGCACTATTCTCCACACACACGATCTTTAAAGTAGTCTATGTAGTTGGTACCTATACCTAATTTTGTTGACAAAAGGAAACCTTCATAAGGTGCCTTGCCTTTTTGAGAAAATAAGACTGCGGCTCACTAAAACCTCCTCCGCGGCCACCATCCCCATCGCTTTTTCAACGTGCGTCGTTGCGTGGACAAGAACAAGAAAGCAAGGAAGTGGCACTTGCAGAGGGAACCGGGTCCTAATTAGACTTACCCCGGAGCCCCCACGGTGCAACACCCGCTACGGCACATCATCTACGAGTACGACCTAATACTTTCTAAGATATTCAACAACTCTGAACCTTCTTGTCTGCATAATGCCTATCCAGGGTTATGTAATAATGACGTAATGGGCATTATTAGGCAGACTATTTATTAACAAACAACATTCAATAATATTAATCATGTTTCTATTGACGTTGGAGCTAGTAAAGCATTAAAATGGCGTTCGCTTATCTTAATTTCAGATATATGTACCTATATCTAAACTACAGACACCAGAAATATTCTAGATTTACTGATTTTTGCTGCTAAGTATTCAACAATTAAAATGGTTCATATTGTGTCGAATACTGACATTAAATTAAGAGTCTGACACACTCTCTCGCCTAACCTAAGGCGGGAGAAGGCACTCTTTGATTTCCCCCCTCAAAAAATGGAGCCCCGCTGTGTATGTATACGGCGAATTTGGATCTCTAAATAGCCCTTGATTATAACGAGTTACGATAATAAGAAGAGATAATTCTAAATGTGATGGTGTGAAAATATTTTTCACCACTTCTCCGAGCTCACACGACGAGACCATGAAAGCTTATCTTCACAGAAATTCCCATGAATGATGTATCAGTACAGATACACCAGTAGGCTAACTACAGAGTTTTACTAATCACAATCACCTGCACAGCTCAGCTCACAATAATTATAGGTTATCTCAAGTTTCTAATACATTCCGTCTCAACTATCTTAATTTCAACGCATCAATGGCTTAAATATTTTCTAATTGTTTTGTCATTATTATGTTTTGCGCACCTTTATAATATACCCACTTACTTGTTGGTACTGTAGTGTGATTGTAAGCCAGGATCGGCAGACCTACAGTATGTCCAAAACACCGAAACAACGTCCGAAATGTAATGCAAAAATAACTAACAATTTAATCAAAATAACGACTGCCTCGTTGGCCGACTGGTAGCAAGTGCGACTGCCAGGCAGGGGGTCTCGGGTTCGATTTCCAGGTCGGGCAAGTATTACTGGGTTTTTAAGAATTCTCAGTAGTAGCACGGACCCTGGAATTGTGCCCAGTATATGGCAACAGGCTCACCCCCCATTACATGGGACTCATAACATAAATAGTGAAAAGTGGGTGGTGGTGGGTACAGTGGCATAATGTGCACCTCTGCCTATCCCTTCGGGAATAAAAGGCGTGATGTTATGTATGTTAATCAAAATAAATAATATTCTCAAACTAACCACATAATGAAAGATATGAAAAGATTTAATTTAATATGGGATGATGACTTATTTATTTGCCGAACGAAGCAAGTTGTGAGCGTGGCTGATTCACGAGGAACCTTGCCGGCGTCACGTATAAGTTTTATTGATCATAAAACTATTTATTACAAGAAAAGAACGTCAAACATATTTTGGTAACGACCTGTATATGTATAATCGAGACCCACTCGCAAGTAACGACAGAGCAAACATTACAATTTAATGAAATATTTTATTTCATTTGCCTGATGCATTGGAATAATAGTATTGGTCGAATCGATCTAGTAAATCTTGTTTGTTTTTCGTTTAAATCGAAGGTTAGGCACAATTTATATTTTACTAGCACTCTCAAGTGTTCTTTAATGTTTCTATGCGACCTTCCCCAAGAATTTCGCACAAATATTTGGTTTACAAAGCTAAGAATTATTTGGTCTTTAAATTCTGATACACTATCAGATAATTCATTCAAAGGAAGACAAACCACTTTCAGCTTTATGAAACTGTACTTAATAAGTAAACGAGCAATGGGCAACAGCTGGTACCAACTAAATATCACGAAAAAGTAAATGTAAGAAGAAAAAATATGAAAAAAAAATACATTACGATTCCATTTTCAAAATACAGATGTGGTTCCAATGTTCCATAGACTAAGCTTAACAATAGAAGGGCCATAAAGCTTGTATTGCTTTTTCTATTGTAAAACACATTAACACCCAGCCTTATTAAACTGTGTGTCCCCGTATTAATGTTAATAGGAAGTTAACACCCCTGCTCGTGCCCTATTGGCGTAGCAGGGATTATGCATCGCTCGCTGTAATTTATTGTTAAATAGTCCCCCAAATAAATTGACGTTTTTGTTTGTTTGGAGGGTTCATATACCAGATTTTAAAGGATAATATATGAAGAAGAAAATTCGTGCATCGTGAAAGAATGTGCATCGTGTGAGAAGAGGCTTTGCTCAGCAGTGGGCATTAATATGCCAACTGCTGTGCAGTTCAGCCTAGGCTGTTGATGATGATTTTGTGGATGATGGTGATGACAGAAAATAAAACAAAACCTTTTTGCAGCACCCATAAAAATATAAATATCCTAAAATAATATATATATCCTAAATGTAATTAAGGATATTATGAATATTATATGTAATGAAATATCTTGAATTCTAAGCTAAAATCTTAGCTAAGAGAGTAGCTGTAGGCCGCGACTTCGGCCGCGTAGAATATGAATTTTTTAGGAGTTAGGACAAGATTATGATACTATTTTCCAAAAAAAATAAAATTTACTCCTATCTTACTCCCTATTACATTAGCTACCTGCCAATAAAAGTCTCGTCAAAATCGCTCCACCCATTCCAGAGATTAGCCAGTACAAACAGACAGACAAAAAAATTCTGAAGAACGTTATTTTGGTACGGGTGCCGTATGTATATTCATAATAATATGCATGTAGTAAAATGCGTTACTTTTAATATTACAGACACTTTAATCTTATTTATTTGTGTATATAGATAGATATGTATAATTGTATTTTTTAAGGGGGAAAATCATCGAATAACTGCTTTCGCCTAGGTGAGGCGGGAGGGAGTGTCAAGACTACTACTGACTAAAAACCACCCCGTTCCTTCTCCTGCACTTCGAGCCGGAGCCCCGGTAACCCGTTAGGTTCTCCGCGACATGTATAATTGTATAAGTATTATAAGCAATAGGTAGGTAAGTACATAATCCGTGACCCATTCACATTTCCTGACAAAATATAAACCTAATTAATTATGTTCAGGTGATACAAGTCTAGACCCCAGACATCAGTGTATCAAATTTCTTGAGATAGGAATCAACACTTCACATTTACTGTATCTTTTATAGATTTTACACAGATAAAGAGAACAGACAATGTTATTTTCAATTCAAATGTCATCCGGAATATGGATTACATCAGTTACCTTAGTATTGAGTGTTTGACGTAATGTTTCAAGTTTTATCTAAGTTACCCTTGTTGTAATGTGTGTTTATTATCATTCAAGTATTCATAGCTTGTAATTTGTCTACGAAAGCTTACTTATCATTACAATGTAGGGCTAATAAAAGTTATTTAATGTCGGACGCAGCGAAGGTGAACACTGCGCCTGCGCCATCGCGCACGTACACTTGAGGACACTTTAAATTGGTTACCACGCATTAATATTAATGCACCAGTATTATGGTAATGGTTTAATCTAAGGGCGGGTCGACGAACCGAATATATTGCTTTCAAAATTACTACAATGGGATATTGTGCGCCTAAGCTGTGTCGAATTGATGTATTGTTTTATAGTTCCAAGAAATAATTGTCTTATTTATACTCTTTATCAAAATGAAAGTGACGTTTTGAGTTCAGCACTAGCTGTCTATTTGCTTTAACTATTCTATATCGCGAGGTTGCTAGACTAACTACGTCATCCCATTTTCTCAGAGCGATAGCAAAATGCATTGAATTTAATACTAGAATGAAAATGATAGATTATGAGAAAAAACATCTTAAAACCACTTTCGTGGTTTACAAAGACCGTCAAGGATAGTTAAACAATAAACAAAAAGAGAATTTGAGAACAATTTTATTAGTTTACGTGAATTCAGCAGTAGGTCAATATCGAGCGAGCTATCATTTGTAGCCGGTTCCTATAAATAGCGGCGTGAATGAGGAGTATTTTTTCCTTGGCGTCAGTAGAGGTTTGTTTTACAACTGTACACGGCTGAGTGGTGGGATGGCGTGATAAATAACCCGTCGACATTTATAATCTGTTTCACGCCACCACTAAATGTATTTTTTACGATGCCCACGTAGAAAAACTTTTCGGGAAATATCAGTGGCCGTACTTGAAGTACATACTCTAGTGAAACAATAAAACGCTAGACGCTAGTGTTTCTCTAGTGGTTCTCTCTCACTAGTTTTCACACGTAATAAAATTTCTACGGATCAGTAGGTTCGTTTGTTGAATGCGCTACATAAATATTTTCTTCTGTTCGTAAACGTACAGAGAACCACTAGGTAAGTGCTTGTCATTTGTTAACGGTTTTTATTACATTAGATATCATAATACACTGTCCTTCTTTATTCTACGGAAACAGAAAGTTTACCCACGTCACTAATTTAAAGGTTAAAGATGACATCTCAATCTGCATAAATTTCATCTTTCGTTGTTTACTATTTACATTGTAACATCTACGGGGCAATCCCAACACACTAAAGTTCAAAAACATAGTAATTTGGTGAGTTCTATGAATAATTCATAGTAAAGTAAACAAAAAACAAGTGAATTAATAAGAGAGACTCACCTATTTATAGTAATAGCAACCATGGAGAGGAGAGAGACTGCCTCGTTCCCGTAGAACACGAAGGCGAACATCTGACAGAGACTGGGTCCCAGGCTCCAGTTCTGTTTGATGTACCGGTTGGCTGTGAGCGGCAGGTTGATGGAACAGAAGAGGAGGTCCGACACACAGAGTGAGAGGACGAACATCGTGGTCACGTGGCCGCGTAACTTTGGGTGCATCAGCAGCGCCACGGTCGTTACTAGGTTACCTGGAATGTGAACAGAGGTGTTAAGTCTGTGGTTAAATCAATGCTGTTGTAAAGAAGAAGGATTAAGTAATTAAGTATTACCTAGTGGATCTGTTAATGTGCAGATACAAAAGAAATTCTATTAAGTAGTAGATATTTTAAGTAGCGTCGACTAATTCAATAATTTTTGTTACAATTTTACACCGCATGGGTTAAATAAACGAATAATAAATTCCCCAAATCAAAACATATTTCTATTACCTAATACCTACGTTCGAAAGGAAAATCGTTTTTCCTCTTAAAAATCCGATTCCGACAACACTGAACAAAAATATTTCGTTACTAATTGCCCAAATATTTTGTAGCTGCATTAGTTTTCGTGCAACCGAGTGTACACTGACACCACGCTACATAGACATTATAGTACCGTGGTTTAGATTGTTAAATCACTGAGTGTAGCCATTAATTGTACACAAAATGTAAAATTATGTACAATTTGCATATTCTTTTAGATATTTTGTCAAATGAATTCATAGCAAAATATTAGTAAGTGAAGTGATGTTAGTAGTGAAGTTATCAATGGATTGCGAATTTGTTAGGGTACGGCTCTCTCAGTCACGTAGGCAATCCTGAATGACTAAGTTTCAGCAATTAGGTATGCAACTGAAAACCAAACATTCGATTTTCAGCACGGTTTGCCTTTTCATCGTTTCGAAGTAGAACGGGCTACAGAAAACACATGAATAGCTCTGAAGAAATAGAAATGGTTTCCGATCCTGCCTAAACCTACGTAAGAGGGCATTATGTACCTATGTTTGAAAGATTTCCTTACAGTAGTGAGACAGCTTAGCAACAAACAGTACAAGAGAATATGATTACGACTCAAAAAAATTCTTAAAATTTTAAAACCAATTTGTTTGTTGAATCAATAAACTAGTGATGTACCCGGAGTCCGAGCATAAACAAATGGAATCCATTGATTGGCATTACTCTTAAACGCAGTACGATCGAGTGGCCCCACTTATCTGAATTAAATCGATTCACAATTATTTTCAACTCAATGTTTATGAGGGACTGTTTACACGTTAACGAGCTGCTGTTCGAGACATAACATACCTATAAACCCTTTTTCTTAGCGCCGCCGAACTATTTCTGCTTCACGCAAGATTTACTTTGCAATCTACGTAAATTAAATTGTGAATAAACTGTTTATTTCAATGGAATTGAATATATTTGGCGATGTCCTTCGTGGTGGAGTTACATAAATTGGTATGTTTGAAACTCAATACCTCATCCTCAAGGCGTCAGGCGGGTATATGAAGATAAGCCCAGGATAGTGCTGTCTAAAAATTAAATATTTAATTCAAAATTTAGTTAACAAGTTGAGTAGAAAACGGTTATCAGGGATTTTGACGAATTTTTACTTTACGGTCATCAAATTAAAGTTTGTTATCAATAAAAAGCTACACATTATGTACTTGTACGCTTAGCGGAATATGACGTAAATACCTAGGCATGTATTATTGATTTATCAAATAAATATTATATCGAATCACAGATCACTGTTACTCATCACTTTACCATGATTTTACCTTGAAAAATGAATGACCTAACTGAGTACCTAGAATAAGCAGAAAATTACCCACACACATCGTAACTGTATTCGTAAGACTACCTAAGTATTCTAAGTTTCTACTTTAATGTGTTTTTTTAAGGGGGAAAAATCATTGAAAGACTGCTCCCGCCTGGGTGAGGCGGGAAGGAGTGTCAGACTCTTACTGACTAAAAACCACTCCGTTCCTACTCCTGCCCTTCGAGCCGGAGGCCCGGTAACCCGTTAAGGCCTCCGCGGCTGTTAAATCATGTGGTTTAGGGACGACTTTCCAATCATCAGTTAATTCTTGACTGTAGAATTTCCTCAGTTAAAATTTATGTGGCGTTGGAAAAATCGGCCCTTAGTCGATGATAATAATACCTAATAATAATAAGTTAATATTACCCAAATAAGCGTACTTGCAGAACAAAAAAAGGCGTTTGAAAACAACCCATTTATATTCAAGCGGTCAAAAGTGACCGCTCTCCACTAACTACATTATAGACCTTATTTCCGATGTTTAGAGACTACTTTTGTATATAAACAAATTTAATAGATGGTATTTCTAGTTCTTGTGCATTTTGAATGTCCAATACTCTCTCACCATGCTCCGAAATTGTAAGTGTTCCAACTATAGTTTTTAAAAACCTCTTACACAATATAAAGCTTTCAGTATTGGATTCAGCAGACGTTTTATTCAAACAACTAAGTTATTACGGTCCTAATTTTCGTAAATATATAATAGAACAACAGATAGAAGTTTCTGGATTAGTTCATACCGCTATAAACTAAAGAGTTTTAATTATGAAAATCGAATGAAGTATGCAGTGTGTATGATGGATGACTTAATTCATGGATGATTGAATAACTTTCGATTCCTACCAGTTCAAGTACAAATACGTAGTTAGCACTGCTACTATTATTAATTTCTTAATTAGTTCGTGTAATGTTCATTAATCAACGTGTCCGGCTGTCCGGCGCATTTTTATTGCAGTTAATATTTTTTCCGTAAGTCACTGCCCTTGGATACATTATAAATTATAGTCATACAATGATAGATATAGGTGGAAGCCTTTTTATTTTTAACTTTAATAATAATATTATGTTCGAAGTCAGTTTCGTAATTGGTAATTGGCAAACGCATCAAGAAAATCCTGTGTGAGTGCGGGGAATCCTACCGTGGTAGGAAATTGCTCAGATAATTAAAAACCTACTTGGGGACAATTTGAATAAAAAAAAAATGTAATTGTCCCACAAGTAAATAATATTTGTTGATAACACGAAGCTTACTACAAAGTTGAACGTATAGTGACGTAAAATTATAAAAAAAAAGAATTGGTGGCTAACCTAACCATCGCATATTCGCGTCGCATTGAAGAAGATTGCTTTACAATCATTATAAAAATCATTAAAAGGGATGATAAAAGCAGTTTTACGATATTTTCTAAAGCATTTTAAGTTCAATAACCCACACAATAATAAATAACTCCAAACGAAACAGCTTTGATTCATTTAACTTGTTAATGTATTACTGAATTATTTTTATGTAAATTCATCCGTTCTTATAACTCTCAAGTAATAAAATTTAAATTTCTCTTGTAATTATTTCTTTCACGCACTGTGTGTACCTAACTTTCAAATAAGACATTTAGGGCATTATATGTTATCTGTGCCGCGTTCCGTCAATTTGATATATGGGCTGTTATAACCCTACTGCTCTATTTCCTCGTCCATATTAAAAGAGTAATAGTATCCATAATTAATTATACCTTAGAACTGTACAGTAAATTGTGGCCCTATTGTGAATTTAAGCCAATTATAATCGACCTGAAAGTTTTATGAGATGTGAACATGAATAAAGATGAATGAAATAAGGCCACGTTCTTAGAAAATGGGCAATTTATGATCTACTTACTAAGTATACTATATAGTTAAGTATAGTACATATTATAGACGTGCAAAGTACAATAATCATGGCTCCATAAGTCGTTTTAAAATTCGTGAGGTCTTTAATTTCTTTAATCATAACTTGTAAAGTCAATTAGATAGTTTCTGCTCGCTACCTACTTCCTACCTATTGGTGTGTTTAATTAGCACAACATTGTAGTTTAATTGATGTAAATGTGAAGCGCCGCCCCTGAATAATGTAATTGTGATAATTTCCTTTATCATACTTAGCTCATGTCAATCACCGTTTTACATGTTGATTTATGTTACGCGCGCTTTTTATCAATATGGCGGCACCACCTGCCCACCTGTGTCTGTGACGTGATCTACGTTAGAAAATCGTGAAGGTTTCTAATGCAGGCTACACACCGTCAGGTTTAACTATAGAGTTTTAACTGCACAGTGCAATAGTGAAGGTTCATAATACCCTACACAGCTACACCTACACTAAACACCTTACGATTTAGCTGTAGAGTCGAACTGTATAGTTAATACTGCACAGTTACAACGGAAAGTGCATAATAGTAATTGCAAGTAGTACGTACCTATTAATTAACAACTTTCATCATGATCAGTAGGAAACTTTTGCGGCGTAAATAATAACGGTTGTGATCCAAAGACAATCAAAAAGCAGAAGAAATTAAAGTATTTTGGCGCTAAAAATATGCAAACGTCACTGTGACGTTTGCTCTCTAAAGTCAAAGACACTTCATCGAAACTTTTACAAATTGTCAAGATTGAGGCACAGTTGTTCACACAATGCCAATGACGGATAAAAGCATTAATTATAAATCCTCTATGTAAAAGGATTATGACGTGGTTAATGTGTTTGTATTGATAAAGCGGCCGTTAATCGCTCGACTTGTAACCAATCGGTCAATGGGCCACTTATTGTTGACAAAGACCAGCTGATACTTGTGACTAAATATTTGAACAGGACTTTGTTCGGGGATTTTTGTATTCTGTATGACAGTATCTGACTGTGATTGCAGCCCACTGAATCGGGACAAAGACCTGAATCTGAATACTTTTACAATGAATTTCATCAATTGGCCGATGCTTTTTAGATGTTGTTTTTAATCGCAGGTCGATTTGACTTTAATGTTTAGGTTTAGTGAAGAATAAAGAACCAAAATAAATTCGGGATATCGGAATTTTCGTTCACTACCATCATCTAGCCAGACATAACAAGCTTAGTAGGGCGTAAATCACAGATTATTATTTTGTAAAATGAAATGACAATAAACAATCTTCTTATTATGATGCGTGCTATCTGAGTAATCTACGCTAATTATTTACTCATCAGAAGACAATTGGTGCATTACAGCACGAAGCTCCGTTGCTACCGGACCTGGTAGGATGACGAGCTCGCGTGACCACGCCAACTCTAATATAAATTGATCAGGAGATCTGCAGTTACTGTTCCACTCTGTTACCTTAGTACTAGGAGTAATTAGTACATCTAGTCTTAGATTTTTGTAGTGAATGATTTTAGCTCTGCTTTTAACTTGATGGGGCATAATTAAGTCTGCGTGGTGCTGATAATTTAATTACATGATCCATTACGGGGTTAGGCACGAGAGTCCCATCAATATACGGAAACCGATTATAATTATAGATAACCAAATAATATCTGCACCCAAGAAAAACACGCCAACAAAAATGTAATTCAGAGGGCAGTACGACAAACTACTGTAATAAGTAGACCAAAATATTTCAAAGGTTTTTTTATTTTATCACCAAACTCTAGAGTTGAAATTCGAATTAAGCAATGACAGATTAGGGGTAGCTTAATTTGCAGTCGTCTGGTCCATTGGGAACATTAATTTATCAGCAGGACACGCCAGTTCTCGCACATGTTTATTTTCCGAGTGGTCCCCTAGGTCGACGGTCAACTGTCCGGCGATAGACAGTTTGATTGATCTGCCTACCCTCTGCACAGTGTCGGCGTAAATCTTCGTAATTAATCAGCTTACGGGTGGCAGGTTTATTTATATGTCCCGTATCTACCATTTTGTGATAACGGTAGAAGAAAAAAGGCTAATGGCGAGAATGATAATGGAACTGAATGATTGGCAGGCTATTTCTCTGCACGTCGTGTTTTGTGGAGCATAGGTAATGTAAAATTAGTATTAGAAGTGTAGAATCCATTACTAGTGGAGTAAGTAACTATGATATGTAGGGTGATGGATGGACAGGTGTTTGTTAGTCTTTCAGGAAAATGTATTGAATGGAATTTGGCGATAAGTATTTGATTTGGCATCGTAACCTTGATGTGGGTTATCATGCATGAAGAAAGTTATAGGAACAATCTTTTTCTTCCTTCTTTTTTCTTTATGGCATAAGCCGGTAAACGAGCAGATGGATCACCTGAGGGTAATCAATCGGCGTCGCCCATGTACACCTGGAACACTAGAGGCGTTACAAGTGCGTTATCGGCCTTTTGGCTATTAGGAATTTGAGGATCGTTGAGGGTTCTGGGATTGGGCAGATTGGGGATCTTATGATAAGGACTGAGCTATGAATACTAAATATTTTTTTATCGATTATCTTCATAACTCTTACATTAACAGGACCTATCAGAATCGCGCCACGAACCAATTTAGTACCATTTGATCCTGTTCGTTCATAGTAATTTAACAAAAATGGTGAGGCCCAAGGCGATATAACAAAATTATGAATGAGCTCCATTCCCTTGAAAAGAAAATAAACAATAATATTACTATTTTGTGAGTGTTTGGACTTCCCAAGATGACGTTTATCATGGTCAGTTTCCTTCCTTATTGTGTGACAAACTTAAAAAATGCATTCAAGGTAAACTAAATATACACAACTTAGGATACAAAAAGATAAAAACTAAATATAAAAGAAAATTAAAAATAACAATTTAAAGTCAAAATCAATAAAGTCAAAAAGTTAAAATAAAAAAAGGGAAACTGATGCTATTTTCATGTCTTAATGTTGGTCGACAATACATTTTTTTTAATAAGCCGGTAAACAGGCAGACGGATCACCTGATGGTAAGCGAGCGGCGTCGTCCATGGACACCTGCAACACCAGAGGCGTTACAAATGCGTCACCAGCCTTTTGGGGACCAGGAAATTACGAATTCTTGGGTATTCAGGGATTGGGGAGGGGCATTAATTGGGCGTCCAGTAACCTTAAAATTACTGCTTTTGATTTGTTTTCGACTTGCCCCCATTAGTTATGGGACGCAAAATAACTAGAAATAAATACTATCTCTATTAAACACGTTTTTTTTAAAAGGCAGGCGACTTAATAATGTTACAAATATTGTTTGCTCATAATGATATTATCAAATAACTTGTTATAATTAAAATAATTAATTATATAAATAATTTCAGTTAGGTACTTACGTGTTTTGTGGTTTGCGGTTAAGTTACGCGTCGTAAGAGATCGTATTGCTTTACTTAACATTACTTAGTTACAATAATTATTGACAACAATGTCAAGAATATTCGTTTTCTACGAACGTTTTACTCTAAACTGGTATTAAAACAAATACTCTTTATTATTCTATTGAGCAGACTGGTCTCATCAACCTGTGATGTTGTTGAAAAAGATTTTGCGAAATGTACAAAAATGACTAAGTTACTTAAGTGGTACTTATAAAGGGTAGGTAGGTAAAGGAACCGATTTTCTATTTCCACCGATTCCATTTATCAAAATTAATTAGTTGCTGATTAATGTCGAATAGAACAGAATTATAAAACAACCCGAACCCGAACCCGAACCCGAACAGAATAATATGGTCTCTAAGAATCTCGTTAATTTATCATTTATAATGACAACTAAAATTGTATGACGTCAGAGTCAGCCAAATTGAGTCTCCTAATTTAGGTATTCATTTTAATATAAAAATTAGTAACAAATTAATTATGTGAATTGTCATGGATTACATTATAATTATAATATAGAGGTAAATACTCTATACAATCGGAACAACATAAAATATAAATTATTATTATTGAAATCCTCGTCACTGATAGCGAACAAGGAGTCATATCAACTCGCGGGAGCTTAGAGTTGAACAGTCTTCAAGTCAGGGTTCCATAAGTTGTACCTACCTAATCACCTGTATACCAGCTGTGTCTAATCCACTAACAAAGGCTAAGTGTCTATTTATTGCATTCTATTTATAGGCGAGTACATAGGGGGTGTTATTGTGTGCGGTTGTCCCTCGGCGCGGCTAATTGCCACCGCTTAATAAACTTCGTGGCAAATGGGAACACATCTAGCAATAGCAACCTACTGAGTATATAGTACTGTCGTTGATATGACTCCTTGTTTGCTTGCAAATGTACCTAGTGTAAGGTTGTATAAGGATCTTTTGTTTTATACATAATTATTGTTATCACACGTTATAAGGCAAAGGGATTCACGTTCTATTACGTCTCGCAAAGGAGCGGCAGAGTAGTATCTCTAAGGAATAATTATAAGGAATTATTTTAATTACCATCTACTTTATAACCTAAAGAAATAATCCCATCTTATAAAGCTTCTCATTCACAGTCCGATTCATCCGACTTATTTGACAAATGACATCCAAAAAATGTGACCAGTTATAATAAATAAAATAAATTAATTAATTCCAGCTACACATTCAGTGATGCGTTTCTGGTGTTAGTCACGTCCTGGTCGTCAATGGGCCCATTCATTCCACGAGCTCTGTAAGGGCAACAGCCCTTGTGTTGTAGCGAGGTTTATTACCAATTTATGACTTTATGACATGTGGAATTAGACGGCAGTGCTCATAGCACAGAGACGACTCAAAGAAGTTCGGTTTGGAATCATTTAAACAACGCGCCACGCTGGCATTACTGGCATAGAGCAAAAATATGATCTTACTGTATGTTTACTCACAAATAAAAAAAAACATAAATGCTACTTCTTCAAAGTAGTCATAACACTGTAATAAAATTTTATGTACACGCACGCTCCACGATTAGGTTAGTTAGCTACCTACGCTACTGCGTAATTTAACGTGAACTATGAAAGTACCTTGTTCCTAAACTACCTACTAAAATTACCTAACATCCGATATTTTAAGATCAGTTAAAAATACAAGTTATATTGGGATATAATCAAAACATATCCTTACTACCTCGAGTAGGTGTATATTAAAATAATATTAATTCAAACATCGAATAGGCTAGTGATGTGCACCTTATGTTTGTTTACGCAGCTGGGCGTCCGAGAGCGCGTCGTTCCCGGGTAGGTATCGAGTCGTGTAACAAACCGTTTGATGTCCGATTACGACCGGCACTTAGCGTTTAATGTTGCGTTCGTGTTAAGTGACCGATTATTGAACGCTTTCTAGTGATAGTGAGTACACCAAGCAGTAAACAAATGCATGTTTAAAAAACCACGTCCAAATATAAACTTAAACCTTTGTTAGTAAAGTTTAAAATCCCAATCCGTCAGCAGGGGGACTTTATGGTGTCGTGATCTAATTTACGGTTGAACTTAAAAGGTTTAATTTCTATTACGGAAATTGTTTATACTTCTTTTGTGTACGTATTGCTTATAAGAACATCTTTGATTTTACAGCGCCGTTCATTTTTAAAACAATGCAATGATACATCTGTGCAAGCAATAACAAGCAGAAGTTTCACAAAGTTTTCTGAAACATTTGTTTTAAAGCAAGTCATCAGAATACGCATCATAATTCTTTATGTATATCTGGAAACCCATTTAACACTAACATCACTTCCAAGTGTTTTGAAAACAAGTTGATGAAATATCAGTGATGTATAGAACTTTGAAATGTAGTTTATTAGGATATGACACATTGTTTGTACAGCGCTGCGTCGCTATAAACAAACAGTGTTTCAACGCTTTCCTCGAATACTTGCATCGGGCATCGGACATCGAGCGTGCACACTAGAACGGCCTATAAAATCGGTTACTGTAAACACAATATAATCGATAAACAAGGCAGTGTAAGGTAAGGTAACTTACCGACGACTCCGACGACGCTAAAGATGCAGGCACAGGCTGCAGCCAGCACCGTGGCCTCCGGCGGGTAATGAGTAATGTTTTGGTCCATACTTGTAATGTTTTCGTAAATATCAAACGATAAATCGGACATAGTTAGGCACTTCACTTTCACTTCACTATTTAGAACTTTAATTTTGAATTTTTCTTTGACATTTTATACTTTTTAATCTTGACATGGTGCTGTCAAAAGTTTCTTCCAGCCATGACGTAATTGCACAAGGACCACTGCATACAATCTGTAACAAAATACAAAGATTAAATTACATCGTTTTTATGAGAGCACGTGTTGTTAGTCAAAACATTACGGACACAAAGCTACTTAGTAGAGCTTTTTAAGGAAATGTCAAGGAGATCAGTGTCATTAATGTTATGTAAGTAAATTAAATTATAACTTTTTGTCGTCAAATTCAGCTTGTCTCTAGGTACCTGACTTCGCAAGAGAACCAACTCGTTAAATGAACAGCAGATAATGAAATTGAAATTTGTGCTTCATGAAGTGTTTTGCTGGTTTATCAGTAGATATTTTATCGGAAGCGTATCAATGCGGACTGCCCCTCGGAGCTTAAATGCCAACTAACAGAGGAAAAGAGATGGAATGCAGGAAAATGAGAAAATTTATCTCCAGTTTAAAAATAAAAATTCACAATGAACAACATTACGAAAATAACGATGTCGCCTTATTGACAAAGTACAGCTAAACAACTGTGTATCTGCGGATATACGGTTCTGAATTTTTACCTCATCGAAAACTAGTGCGGTCAAATTTTTAAGAGCAAAGTTCAGTAAATCGATGTATATGTTACGCTAACGGGATAAGCTGTAGAATATTTGTATAAATATAAATAGATTAGTTCCAGATAGTGATACGTAGTGTAACGGAAGGCTGGCTGAGTACGGAGCCGGAGGTATTTCGAGCCAAACAAGTTGATCTCACTCCATCGCTATGCCCTCCCAGATTTTATTCGCCCTCATTACGTTCATAAATATAATAAAATATTGTTATGCCAATCATTCGTTGTGGGAGGTCCGTTATTTATACGTTTAGGCTACCACATTGAATCATTCGCAAAAATATTTATTGTCCTTGTTACGTAAACATATAAAAGCATCAAGCTCCCAGTCAACCAATCATCGCTGACGTAAACGTGTCCAAATAAAAAGAATGTTTTTAACATTATTTTCAGGAGTTCTAATGGGTCTGACGGTAGCACATTGATAATGACTCGATGGCTAAGTGGCTGTTGCAAAAGTAACATCTCTTCACAAAAAGTCTACACTAGATAGTTGCCGAAAACCTTCCGATGTAAATATATTGATTGGCTTCCTTACGTCAATATCACGCTATTTCCTCGTATTTTTCTTTAAGAACTAAAAAAACTAGGCGTAACGTCACGCGGCGCCGGGTGCGGGCATTAGCATGGATTTATTTACATGACGATACGAATCACTTGTGTATGGAAAGTATAAATTCTCATAACTCGTCTTGCAAACGCACGCCTGCCCACTGACACCATTAAAATAATATCATTTGAAAGCTGCAGAAAGCAGTTCCGTTACAATAACACGTATTTTCCATTGAGATGACTATTTCCAAGTTTCCACTTATGCTTGATTAGTAATCAGTTTTTCTTTACAACCTTTTTTTTCAGACTCCTTGGTAAAAACTACTTACTACACTGGCCACCGATAACGTACACATGGCCACGTTCTTTTTATGATTTTGAATTTTTATTGCCCGCCAATCTACAGCGTCTGTACTAGTTAGCTGTGGATGGACAGCAAAAAAATGTTAACAATGAACATGTTTATTTGGAACACTACATCTGCAACTGTTTTACAGCAGTTGAGGCTTACAATATGTCCCGTATAATTGGGATTGTGGGATCAAATCGGATACTCTACATAGCTTTGGTAGTTGGTATCTTCAATTCAGATTAATGTCCTCAACATTATTCGAACTAGAAGACCAATATCATACCTCATTAAGCTAAGACCATGTCATTTGGCGACGGTAACGAACACAAGGCTTCTTTTGTTTACGTTGCAATGGTCACCCAACGTCCCTCAGTACCGATGTGAATACAAACAGCTGTAATTATTATTATGGCCGGTAATGACCGCTGCCCTGTTAAGTGGCGGCTAGCTGATGACTTCTCATCCTTATTAAGACTATGTTCTGAGAAAGAACCGATCATACGGGTTTCGTTAATCAATTCATTAGTGCATTGAGATGAAGAGTAATGATGTTTTAAATAGTGTTGTGATCGTTCATGTAAGAAAGGGGTTTGTAATGAGTTCTAGTCAACGTTAGGGTTGAATTAAAAGATATGAACGTTACTCGAAACACAGACAGATTTTCTAGTTTTCTGAATGCATACGATAGCAATTTTAGAATGAATATGTTTGCGAGTTCTTTCGTTAGCCGGTAAGAATGAGAAAATATTAATAATGATTGTAACAACATCGGTAAAGACAACCGAATGCTCGGCTCGAACAGATCCGGCTGGTAATGATCACATTCTTATTTTAGTCTACAGACATAATACCGTTTGCAACCATTTACGTGCGTCGCTGGCGCCCGGCAGCTAACCACTCGTGTGGGGAACTATTTGGATTTCATAATAACACTAGGTTATATAGAACACCCACTATAACTAGGCCTACGGCGGGTTGCAGAACTAACTTTCGATGAAGGCTTAGTGGTACTTTTGGCAGGCAGCACGAGACAAGTGGCGCCACTAGAAAATGTCAATTTAGGTTGGTGCTATTACAACTGCGTTAATTCGTAGTGTCTCACTTTGTGCGCGTTGTTAACTGAAAGTTTTACAACTCTCCTAAACAGTTATTGTTTTCTGTCGTTCGTAAACGTCAAATTAAAGTTGTGCAGCTTTATTTCTGTCTTCTTTATTGGAAGTACTGTGATATGAGATTTATTGAGTGTTACCCATTTACCTACTTAGTTGATGATATTTATGACCATTTAAATGTCTAACGCTCCCGTAATTCAATTATTCACAGCCAAATGTATCGGATCAATGGCATTATTTCAGGAACGAGGATACAAAAACTAATTTTAAATTCGGAAACTCGCGTCTAATCCACGAAAATAATGCTTTTTCATTTTGAATCGTTCATGTTACTGGGAAGCAGTTGTTTATTGACGCACAACATGCGTTGATCTGACAATGCCGCGTAAATCATATCGTCTTATAACGTCATATTGAAATTTTTACGATTCATTAATTAAATCGATTCATAGTGCGAATTGCTTTGTGTCATTTTCTATTACATTATTAAATACAAGATAATTATTTATTGTTGTTTGTGTGTCTCATTAAGTTTTATGAGTTTGTTGCACATGTACGGCGACAGAATGCAATTAAGATCGCAGTTTCGCACATTATGACTTAGCCGATTTAATGTCCTGCGTCCCCTAGTTGGGACAGAAGGCGTTCATGGAAGTCCTCTAGAAGTCGACATTGTTACTGTGCAATGGTTGGGTATGATCCCGGGACATGAGTAAAATAATATCTCTTCAGTTGTAGCTCTATTTAATGATCGGTTTAGTTGAAAACAGCCGACGTTTAACGCATCATTAATCGAAATGATTTCTAAGATGTTCTTTATAGAGGCCGTCAAAGTCAGTTAAGACGATAGGGAAAACGAGTGGGCAAATACTAGGAAAGTTGGAACTTTGACAAAACAACGCAACTATAGAGATTTAGTATAGTAATTTATATTGACAAGCAATATTTGTGTCGTGATAACAGACTTACTACATCGTGTAAACACGTACCTACTGGAAATAATCAAATACCGCGGGTTAATGACAGATGTCAATCTAATTTCATCGAGTGCTCGATGTTTGCACACATCACTAATTTACTAAGAGCTTCAATCGATACGGGGGCGTCACTAGCCGCGGTGTGCGCGCCAAAAATGGCTGCAGATGACGTCACTAATTTGATAACACGTCGATTGTTTGATGTGTTAATTAGTTAATCTTCCTGACGGTGGCGCTTCTCGGCTTACACTGATAAAGGGAACAAGCCTTTACCAGTAAACGTGCTTTGTTGATATGGACTTGTGGAAATCCGTTGTTTTGCAGGAAAACACACCTGTTTTCAATTGTACCTACATTATATCACTTAATATAATTTACAGTTATCTTGGTTGTAAAGTTGACTCTGTAAATAAGCTCGTATGCAAGCACACTATTGAGCTTTATAACATTACTACTTAGACAGATTGTACCGAACTTTAAAAATAATAAAACCACAATTTTCCTGTTTCCAACAACAAAAAGGCGAGTCAATGTCACGCGTATCTTGTAAACAAATAAGCAGGACGCGGCCTTACACCGTGATGTATGGAAAGAGCACATTTCCACAAAAATATGGCATCGACCTCGAGTCGACCACCGATTAATGTGCGCCTCCTATAGATAGGCTACATCTATTTAAAACCAATCATTTTGTTTACCAGTGCCGGTATTCGGTACTATGGAAATATTTAAAAATGTACCAGCTGATACTAACTGTATGTAGGTACAAGATATTTATATTCTAGCTTCTATGAACTGGCGTGTTTCATTGGTGGGCTTCGTCATGTGACCCTCGGTTTGATTCTTAGGTTGTGTTCTTTGAGAACTTAGATATCAGAATCAGCCAAATGTCACAAAGACAAAGGCCCTTTAGATAACATAACATAACATCACGCCTTTTATCCCCAAGGGGGTAGGCAGAGGTATATTTCATGCCACTGTACAATGTGACACCCACTTTTTACTATTTGTATTATGAGTCCCATGTAAATTACATGATGTAATAGGGGGTGAGCTTATTGCCATATAGCTACCGGGCACAATTCCAGACTCCATGCTACTACTGAGAATTTATAAAATACCTGGTAGTACTTTGGCCGACTCAGGAATCGAACCCGAGACCCCTTGCCCGGCAGTTGCCCTTGCGACCACTCGCCCACGGGGCAGTCGTCCTTTAGATAAAATTATACAAGTACCTAAATTAAGTATGTTTGCCCGTCGCGTCGGTTGCTTAATGCACCTATTGTTTGAGCCTAAGTGGCATAATGTGCACCTCTGCCTACCCTTTCGGGGGTAAGAGGCGCGATGTTATGTTATGTTTTGTTGCGCCTAAGTGTAATTTCTTCCGCGGTGAACGTAAAAGATTACCGGGGCTCCGGCTCGAAGTGCAGGAGAAGGAACGGGGTGATTTTT